ATCCTATTAGCCACACTGCAGGGTTGGACATTACCATACCAGGTCAAGGGAAAGTGACCCTATCAAGGCCTAGGCAGCACCGTTGCTTTGAGAATTACAAGGAGAAAATCTGTGCTTTACCAAAAAGCAAATTAAAAATCCTGCCTGGTATAAGCCTTGTTTGAGTGACTAGTGAAATTACAGAATAGCTTCATAGGAAAAAACAAACCCCAGAGTAAAATGGCGAGTGGGAAGTTCCTTCCTGATTCGTATTGTTTTTCCAGTTGCAGACAGGAAACATTCAAGGGTGTTTTCAAGCCCAGAACACTGGACACAAAGAAGGCTCTGACAAAGCAGAAAAAACCCATATACAAAAAGTTTAGGAACATGGAGCAAAATGTCTGATTCAAAACAATCTCGGTTGGGCGCAGTGGCTCACGCCTAGCACTTTGGGAGGTGGAGGCGGGAGGATGGCTTGAGCTCAGGAGTTTGAGACCAGCCTGGGCAATGCAGTAAGAATCCATCTCTATAAAAAATATTTTAAAAATTACCTGGGCATGAGGGTGCACATCTCTCGTCCCAGCTACTAGGAAGGCTGAGGTGGGAGGATAGCTTGAGCCCAGGGTTTCGAAGTTGCTGTGAGCTGTGATCAGGCCGCTGCACTCAGCATGGGAGGAAGAGCAAAACGTTGTCTCAAAAAAAAAAAAAAAAAAAAAAAAAACCCAAAAATCTGGCTGGGTGCAGTGGCTCATGCTTGTAATCCCAGCACTCTGGGTGACCGAGGCAGTCAGATCACTTGAGCTCAGGAATTTGAGACCAGCCTGGCCAACATGGTGAAATCCTGTCTCTACTAAAAATACAAAAATTAGCTGAGCGTGGTGGCTCATGCCTGTAGTCCCAGTTACCTGGTGGGCTGAGGTGGGAGAATCACTAGAGCCCAGGAAGCAGAGATTGCAGTGACCTGAGATTGTGCCACTGCACTCCAGCCTGGGTGACAGAACGAGACCATGTCTCAAAAAAAAAATTATATATATATATTTATTTATTTATTTTGATTTATCAAGTATTATTTTTATGATTGGATCACTTTGTCTACTGGTTTTTTTTGTTTTTTGTTTTTGTCTGTAGGTGTCTTGATGAATTCAGTCTCTTGCCCCCTGCCTTGCTTTAATGAATTACAAAAACTCAACCCAAGATAACATTTCTCAGTAAAAACCAGCACGTTTCTGTGGCTTATGTACATGCCTATTGAATGGGCACCTTGGCCGATAGTGGAATAATTGCTGGACTTTTCATATCTCTGGTATAGGTGAACACTGCAGTTCATGATAGGAAGCACTGAGGCTTTGACCAGTCACAGTGATGAGGGAGATCAGGCCATTTGGACCACATTATTGGAAGAGATGGAGACAGTGCCAAGTCCTGAAAATTAAGATGGACAGCCCACAGGCCAGCAAAAGAATCTTTGTGTAAGGGATCCATTCCAGTTTGTGTATTATACTCCATAGTCATGATTCGTCACTTAAAAGTAATTCTTCCCAATTATAGGTCACTTTTAATAATCTCAGGGAACTCTAGTTGGGTTTTGGATTTTTTTTGTACAATTTTTTTTTCTTTTTTGAGACGGAGTCTCACTCTGTTGTCCAGTCTGGAGTGCAGTGGCACGATCTCAACTCACTGCACCCTCTGCCTCCCAAGTTTAAGCAATTCTCGTGCCTCAGCCTCCCAGGTAGCTGGGACTACAAGTGTGTGGCACCACATCTGGCTAATTTTTGTATTTTTAGTAGAGATGAGGTTTTGCCATGTTGACTAGGCTGGTCTTAAACTTCTGACCTCAAGTGATCCACCCACCTCGGCCTCCCAAGGTGCTGGGATTATAGGTGTGAGCCACCCTGCCCCCCCCAGCCTCTAAAATTGATTAAAAAAAAAACAAAACTAAGCCTGCAGATCTAAAATTGATTTTATTATTGTGATATATATAGCCTCCACAAACACAGGAAGCATAGGGGAAATTTCTTTGTAAACAGTACATTAACATTTTCATATAATATATTCAATACAGTTTTCAGCCTCCAGACCTTTTCACGTGAAGTACCTCTAAAGCAGAGGGTCCAGTTAATTTGAAAAAAAAAAAAATGGCTGGAAATATACTGATATTCTTTACGTTTTGGATACTCTGAGGTATGTTTTCAGTTGTGCATTTGTAGAGCTTGACATTGGACCAGTTCTTTAAGTTAGGCACGCTTCACCCCTGGCCATATCAAACATGCTGCTTAAAAATGTAAGTAACATGCTATTTTTTAAAAACCTCAAAACTGTATTCATGTAGTTTGAAAAGTCAAATAATATAGTAAAGGCTTATCACAAAATATGGTGGGTTCACTCCCTACTCTCTGAGATTTCCCAACTCCAGAAGCAACTACTTTGAATTATTAACAGTTTATTGTGACATTTATTCATATTCATAATTATAAGTAATACATGTAAACGGTCCTTTGGGTTATCAAATTAGGTATTGTCTGTTGACTTTCTGTTCTGATATATGAGGGTTTACGGCCCTTTCCCTCTGCGTCTGCTCCCCAATCCTTCCAATACGGTTATAATTTTCCATTATATTACTAGTTGATGTTTATATTATGTCCAATCAATTATTTGCAGCTGAGCCTACTAGTACTATGACTATCTTTCTGTTTCTAGTGGACTTTTTGTTTTTCCTGAAGTTAATACTTGCCTCGTTTTTATGTTTGCTTTATTTTCTTTGTGGCTGTTGCAGCACTGTGTTCATAACAGTTTAATAACTGCCAAGCTCCTATTTGAATTGTTTGTGGTTGTTTATGTTTTTAATTTCAAGTACCAGTGTGAGGTTACTGAGCAAGAAGTTGGGAAAAGATGCACATGGTTGGTTGTTCTGAGCTGGCTCTAGCATACCCCTGAGCTATTACTAACTCTCCCACATCTGCTTATAACCCACACTGGGATTATAGAGCAAGTTCTTCTCTTCTTCTGTTATTTTTTAAAAAATAATCTGCTCTGAAAAAGGACATATTTATTCTGATTCTCAGGTCAAATCTCTTCTTTTGAACTTGTGAAAATTTTAGTAGGCCTTGAGACTTTTCTGTGTATACTCATACTTACAGAAGGAAGTCATTTTAGAGTTGAGGTGGATTCTGTCAGAGATGTACAGGGCCCTGTCCAGATTTGGGGGTTTTGGCTAGGGAAGAAAGGCAAAAGTTACCCAATCCCTGGTGGCATTTTGCTAAAGGAGGGATGAGGCATTGGCAAGAAGAATGAGGGTGTCTAATGGTGAAGCTCTAATGATCTCATGCCAGGTGTGTTCTTGCTAGGCTGACTGTCAGGTTTCTTTCTGAGTCTGGTTCTTTGACCTCATGGTCAGCTGGGGCCCTGCTTCCCTTCCCTAACTGGTATGACTACTTGTGTTTGGCTCTTCAGCAATGTCTGGCACTGTGCATGCCAAGCAAGGTCTAGGGTGGCATATGTTGGCCTGCTGCTGGCGGAGCCTTTTCATAAAGTTGAGAATTGACTGGGTCTGGAAGCTGGGGCCTTGACTTTGTCTCCAGGCCCTGATCCTCTGGCCCTGAGAGGTATTTGAGTCAGGTCAGAATTCCAGTTTCCTGCAGAAACTGGTGAGTGAGCGAGCCACCCTATAGGCATCTCCAGGTTAACTGGGACAGTGCCATGATGACAAGTGTTAGAATCCCCCGTGGCAATGCCCCGTTCTGACTAACGTGCCGTTGCCCTAAGTGGAGACTGGAGGAGCAGCGCACTCTGTTCCCTAGCCCACAGTTGGCACTGCTCTGAGCTTAGCAGCGTTTCGAGGTCATTGTAGGGATCTCATTTACTTTCTGGCTCAAAGACCTTTTCCTTCTCTTGCATTGGTTCCTGGCCAAGATCATGCAACCCCCATTCTGAATTTCCGGTTCATTGACAGCCTTCCCCTGACTCCCTTCACTGTTCAGAACTGAAACATACTTTTTCTTTCTCTTTTAAAAATTTCCTTCATGCCAGGCGCCGTGGTTGACACATGTAATCCCAGCACTTTGGGAAGCCAAGGCGGGTGGATTACTTGAGGTCAGGAGTTCGGGACCAGCCTGGCCAACATGGTGAAACCCCGTCTCTTCTAAAAATACAAAAATTAGCTGGGCGAAGTGGTATGTGTCTATAACTCCAGCTACTTGGGAGGCCGAGGCGCGAGAATCGCTTGAATCTGGGAGGTGGAGGTTGCAGTGAACCGAGATCACACCACTGCAGTCCGGTCTGGGCAACAGAGTGAGACTGTCTCAAAAAATAATAATAATAACATAAAAATAAAAATTATTATGGTCTGACAATTGAGACTCCACCAGCTTGGAATGCCTCTTCTGATTGCTGGCCACCGTGTTGGTTTAATGGAATGGTCGATGAAATTAGTGGTAGTTCAAAGCATAACAGAGAAAGTTGTGGAAATACTTTGTTTCTTTTAAAAGTAAGGATGGAGAGGGAATTTGAAGGAGGAACTAATTGTTACTGTGTGTGATGGTCTAGACTTGTGTCTTTGCATAACATTTCTGGTTGTGAACTGAGGTTTAAGCTTCTGTGGAACAGTGTTTTCTCAAAGCCTTGTCTAGAGACCTCCTGCGCTGGAATTCTGAGCAAGGATTGGCTGTTAAAAATGCAGGGTCTATCGAATCAGAATAGAATCTCCAGAGGGACCTGGGAAATGGCATTTTATGTCAGCGCCTCCTGCGCTTGGTGATTCTGTACCTGCTCAGGTTGGGGAAGCACTGCTCAGGATCGTTTGTTCTTATTTTGGGCTGCTGTTCCCCACAAAGTTTGTTTAGTTATTTTTCTTTGGTTTTGCTTAAATTGCAGTTTGATGTAAAAATGGGTAAAATGCCCCCGCCAACCCTTCTAAATTCATTTCTGCCTGTTTTGCTTTAAACTCCAGGCTAATAATTAAGACATTTTAGGAGTTGCCTTTCATTTTTGGATTTCTGACTCTGAACCTTTAATTTTTCCCACAGAGCTGAGAAAACAGAAGTCCTCAGTGAAGATCTATTACAGGTAACAAAATATAGTCTCCTTTAAATGATCTGTTTAAACAATGGAAAAAAATTCCTATGTGAGAATTGAGGCTTGTGGGCTTTTTTTTTTTTTTTTTTTTTTTTTTTTTTTAAACCAGAAGCAGAATAAAATTAATTAGTGTGATTTTGAGCAGGAAAGAAAATCAGTTTTGTTGCATGATGATGAAAAGGGGATCTGAAACCCAGCTACCTGGGTTCGAGTCTCAGGTCTGCCCCTGGTTAGCTTTGTGGCTTCAGGGATTTACTGAACTTTCCTGTGCCTCAGTTTCTACTTCTCTAAACTGAGGGAAAGGCTGTATCCACCTCACAGGTTGTTAGGAGGGTTTAATGAGTTAAGCAGGAACAGCGCTGGGAACGGAGCCTGGCATGTGGTAAGTGCTAGGTATTAGTGATCTGTTGTTATTATTACCGCCAGTGCAAGCCACAGACACTGTTTCTGACGTGAAACATCCCTTGATTTGCCCTGTGTTCTCCTGCCTCTTTTTTCCCATCTCTGTTAGAGCAGTTGTGTGGCATTTCCCCAGGGGCTGTGCGTCCCAGCGGGGCGGAACCAGCATTTATTTGCTGTTGTTTCTTGAATACCTTGCACAGGGACTCAATAGACGTGGGTCTTCTCAACAGATATTAAATGAGCACCTTCTGTTTCTGTGAAAGATAAGGCACTGGGAGAAATCAGTGAACAAAACAGATCAAGGCTTCTGTCCTCGTGGAGTTTACATTCTAGTGGAAATTGGAATCGAAATTAAATTATGGAATTACTTTGTTCATTTTTTGCTTTTCTCTGGTGGCAAATGAATGTACATTAGTTTTCTAATGTTTGAAAATCTGGCCATTGCAAGATTTGGGGAAGGTAATGTGGAATCTGCTAAATGTCCCCTTGCCTGCCAGCCCTGAGTCCTGGGCTATGAGCTTGGATCTGAAGAAAGGCTGCTCTTTTGAGAAAGAGGCACAAGCCATCTCAGTGCGTAAAATGGTTTGGGGTCAAAGTGTGTTCTGTTTTGAATGTGTTGATCTATCTTTAAAATAGAAAGCATCCCAAAGGGCCTGCTCTCATTCTTCATGAGTCATCAGAATACACATTTTTGGCATTCCTTCCTGTAAAAAGCAGCTCTCTTTGCCATAAACAGCCATATTCTAGCAATAGTATTTTGGGAAGCTGCTTATGATGCGTGGGTTCCCTAAGCTGACTGCCCGTTCTGCTTTAGAGGTTTATTTAAAACACACACACACACACCCCCAAACCCAGTAAGGAAAAATTTTGAAAACACAGATCTTGCAGTTAAATTGGGGAACATTTATTTTGCTGCTTCTGTCTGATGTATGTTGTGTGGAAGGCTCTGCTGCCATGAGCTGGAGAGAGCTCTTTGGCATCCCTGTGGTTTTTTCCACTTGGCAGTGGGTCTGGGCCGGGATCATTCATTCGCATCTCTGCCTGGTCTGACCTGGTGCTTTTCTGGTGCTGTAGTGTGTAAGCTGACTGGCACCACTCAGTGCGACAGCAAGGTGCGGCCAAGATCATTCCTTTTCCCTGCACATAGATTCAGCCGTGCTTTTCCTACCAGCATGCACACACCACAAAAGGAAGAGGATGAATGTGTTCTCTTTTGTCTCTGCCTTGTCAGATTGAGCGACGCCTGGACACGGTGCGGTCAGTATGCCACCATTCCCATAAGCGCTTGGTGGCATGTTTCCAGGGCCAGCATGGCACCGATGCCGAGAAGAGACACGTGAGTATCAGATGTGACTCAGACCCAGAGTTCCTGCGTCTCTCTGAGGCTTTTCAACCCCGGGATTGGTTGGTTGTCCTAAGTGGCATCAGTGGATTGGCCTTTGGTGACTTCTATCACCAAGCATGCTCGTGACAACTGCATGACCATAGCATTCTTTTGTGTTTAAGACATCGCTGGGCTGGAAGCACTGCTTACACGGAATCTTCTCCAGGTGCTTTTGAAGGCTCCACGATCATGTGTCATTGATAAGAGAATGGCTGTGTCGGTTATGCATCTTCTGCTGACAGAAAGCGAAAAGCCTGTCTTAAATTGACGTTGAAGTAGAAGTAGTGTATTGGTTTGCTAACTGAAAAGTCCAGAGGTTGGGATGGACTTGAGGTCAGGCTTCATGTAACATTTCAGTAATGTGATGAAAAACCCAGTTTCCTTCCTCCTCTCTCCTCTGCCCTCAGGTCTGCTTTGTCCCTGGACAGGCACCCTCATGATGGCAAGTTGGCTACTGGCAGCTGCTATGGCTACTTGTTCCTTGAGTGTGGCCAGTGGGAGAGCCTCTCTCTCAGTAGTTCCCCTCCCCTCCCCTCCCTTCCCCTCCCCTCCCCTCCTCTCCCACCTCTTTTTCTTCTTTTTTTCTTTCATTTTTGCTTCCCTTCCCCTTTCCCCTTTCCCTTCCCTTCTCCTCTTTTCTTTCCTGATGGGGTCTCACTCCATGACCCAGGCTGTAGTGTGGTAGTACAGTCATAGCTCACTGCAGCCTCAAACTCCTGGGCTCAAGAGATCCTCCCGCTTCAGTCTCCCAAGCAGCTGAGACCACAGTACACACCACCATGCCTGGCTAATTTTTTGAACTTTTTCGTAGAGATTGGGATCTCGCTTTGTTACCCAGGCCGATGTAGAGCTCCTGGCCTCAAGCAGTCCTCCGACCTCAGCCTTCCAAATTGTGGAATTACAGGCATGAGCCACCCATACCTGGCCCCAGTAGTTTTTCTTGATGGAGTGAGAAAGCTGCTTTTTCCAAACTCTTGGCAGATTGAAAGCGCTTTCCATTGCATTGATTTGTATGGAGTTACATTCCCCATTTTTGACTGTTCTGTTCCACCCTCGTTAGCATGGATAGGGGGTGAAGAGAAGGGATGTGCTGATTGGTTTAAGGTAGTTGGGCCCAGGCCTAGAGCATGGCCTATGGTCTTACCTCTGGCTCATAGACTTTATCAAGACCAGTGTAGATCCCTGAGGAGAATCAGGATACTAGTATAGAAAGGAAGAGGGATAGACTCTAGGAGAGCCCTCCAGTGTCTGTTCAGGGTCCACTTGTTCAGAGCATTCAGTTCCTACGTAGAGCCAGTGGAGCACAGCAACCTTTGTTCATGAGGGAGTTCCCTCCTTGCTTTTACAAGTTCCCAGCTTATGAGCATGCCGTAAACCTTAGAGCCCATGCAACATTGAAGTGACAGTTTCAGTGACACACAGGGAAGCTGTGATTTGCTATATTGTCACCAGGTGTCTCAAAAGTGAGCACTATTAATAGTATGCAGATGATCTGTTACCCTTTTATGTTTCCTACAGACTTTTATGGGGCACCGTGGCAGCAGGGTTATTCCACTCCTGCACAACAGTGAGGATTCCGCAATCATGTCTGTCACAGGAATGGAAGTTTGCATACACCTATGCTTCCACACTTGCCGCAAAGCTCCGTCCCTCAGAACCAGACCCGGCCTACTGGTTCTGCTTCCTGCAGCTCCTTGTCCTTCTCTTGCCTTCTTCTGCTCTACTCACCCTTTTCACGTTGTTTCCTTAGGTTCTCTGCTTCTCTTCCTTACTCTCCAAGTCATATTCTCTGGGTCACCTCCTCTGTTCTTATGGCTTCTAACTGATGTGTTTATGCCAGTGACTTCTAAGCCGTTTTCAACCAAGCAAAAAACTTACTGTCTTAGATGTCTATATTCTAGCATGCATGATCAGTTCTTCCTTCTGTGTTGACTCTCTGAATTCTGTCCACCCTTTTATGCAGGCTGGAAACTGGGGGCTTTCTTATATTCCCTGTTATTTTTTATTTTTTTCAAGACAAGGTCTCACTCTGTTGTCCATGCTGGAGTGTAGTGGCATGATCCTGGCCCATTGCAACATCAACCTCCTGGGCTCAAACCATCCTCCCACCTCAACCTTTAGGTAGCTGGGACTACAGGCTCGCGCCACCAAGCCTGGCTAATGGTTTTTGTTTTTTTGTTTTTTGTTTTTTTCATAGTAGAGATGAGGTCTCATCTGTTGCCCAGGCTGGTCTTGAATTCCTAGGCTCAAACACTTCTCCCGCCTTGGCCCCCCAAAGTGTTGGGATTACAGGCATGAGCTACTGTGCTGGGCCTCGCTTTTATTTTATCCTCCAAGCCCCATAACTGCCTGATCAGCAAGTCCTTTGATTTCTCTCTGTGAATATTTTAAATGGCTCACCTCCACTCCATCTCTGCCACCTTGGCCTTAATGTAAGACCTGACTCCCTCTCACCTGGACTGTTATAGTCACCTCCTGGCTACATTTCCTGTCTATAATTTCCTTTCCAGTGTGTCTTCAACCCAATCACCAGAGTCAATTTCCTGAAATACAAATCAATCTTATCATCCTCCTGCCTAAAAAAAAGAATCTTGGCTTAGTGGTTCTTAACAGGGACCAGAATTACACCCCTGGGGGCATATGGAAATGTGTAGAGACAGTTTCGATCATCAAAGGGACTGGCAGACACCACTGACGTTTGGAGGGTGAACCAGGATGCTAAACGTTTTTTTGTTTGTTTGTTTGTTTTTGAGGCGGAATCTTGCTCTGTCGCCCAGGCTGGAGTGCAGTGGTGCGATTCCGGCTCACTGCAACCTCCGCCACCTGGTTCAAATGATTCTCCTGCCTCAGCCTCCCGAGTGGCTGGGACTATAGGTGCACGCCACCAAGCCTGGCTAATTTTTGTATTTTGAGTAGAGACAGGATTTCACCATGTTAACCAGGCTGGTTTCCAACTCCTGACCTCAAGTGATCCTCCCTCCTCAGCTTCCCAAAGTGCTGGGATTACAGGCGTGAGCTTCCGCGCCTGGCCAAGATGCTAAATGTTTTGTAATGCCTGGTGAAATAGTTCCACACAGGAAGTATCTTAATGCTAGAAGTGCCCCTTCTGAGGGACGCTGGCTGGTTCCCATTGCCTGGGATAAAGTCCACGCTCTTTAGATGGCTTAAGCCCTTTCTCAGCTGATTCCATTTCTCCTTATCAGCTTCACTGTCTCCTACTTCCTCCTATTCACACTCTGTGTCAGCCACATAACACTCACCAGTCCCCAAATATGTCACTGTCTCTCACAGTTCTATCTAGTTCCTGTTGTCTTCCTTGAGACACAGTCCAAGTGTCACATATATTCAGTAGAAACAAATATTTATCAGTCACCTACTGTGTACAAGTGCTGGAGATAGAAAATGAATGAAATGTAAGTTTTCATGGTCTTGTGGGGGACATGCATGCAAGTGGATCACTATAAAACAAGATACGCAATAAAACATGCACAGGGTGTTATGGGGGGCCCAGGATGGGTACCAGAGGAAGAGGGAGGTAGTCAAGTGAGGCTTCCTGGAGGAGGTGGTGTCTGCCCTATAAAGGAGGGAAATTAGTGGCAGGTGGTGGGAATATTCCAGGCCCCTGGGGCAAAAGTGCTTGGTCCTCGTTTCTGAAACCTAATGCTTTAGCTTTCCTTTTCCAATGTCAAACAAAAGTACCAAAGACAGGGTTCTGAGGATGCCTACACTTTGCACTTGGGAAGAGGAGTTACCACAACAATGGTGAGAGAAGACTGATACGGAGAAAATTGCAGCAGTCTCCAGGGCTCTAGAAAACACAGGAGGAGCCTCCCAAAGGCCTCTCATGCTCCCTGCATGGGAAGAGGCAAGAATGGCAGGAAAGAGACATGGGGCAGGTGACCTTCTCAGTCCAGCCACCACTGACATGGTACAACGCTCATGGGTCAGATAGGATAGATTATTAGATTAGACAATTCTTTCTTTTTGTGCGATTGGCATGCGTTTTACAAATTAAGTCTTTAGAGCTTTTAAAATTCATCCCTGGCCAGGCATGGTGCTGCACTCCTGTAATCCCAGCACTTTGGGAGGCCAAAGCAGGCGGATTGCTTGAGCTCAGGAGTTCAATACCAGCCTATGCAACATAGCACAACCCCATCTCTCTAAAAAATAAAAAATTAGCCATACATGATGGCACATGCCTGTAGTCCCAGCTACTCAGGAGGCTGAGGTGGGAGGATGGCTTGAGCCCCAGAAGTGGAGGTTCCAGTGAGCTGAGATCATATCACTGGCATCCAGCCTGGGCAACAGTGCCAGACCCTGTCTCAATAATTCATTCATTCATTCATTCATTCATTCATCCCTGATGATAGCTGTTCACCTCTAGGAAGCACAAAGCCCTCCCTGTGGAGGAGTTCAGTGTTGATACTTGATTAATGAACCCATATGTTAAGCAGAGTTTCCTTGTTTATATACATAGGAAACAAGATTGTTGTGGCTTTGGGGTCAGGTTGGGGAGACCACAAAACTATTTACAGCTGCCATCTTGAGTGATACTTGTCAAAATAGACTTCTCTATTATTTTTTTTCCACAGACTCCTAAAGTTCCAGAGTTGCACAGTATATTTGTCTTAATTATTGCATTGATCTTTAGTAGGTATTTAACCTCCTTTAGAAAGGCAGCATAACCAGAAGGTAGGAGTTATCCCCTATTATTCTCATATCTTCCTTGTCCAGAAATGGGGCAGCTGGGGAATAGTCTCCTCGTAGCACAGATGGAGCCCATTATTTATTTATTTGAAAATAATTTTGTGGGAAGCTGAGGTGGGAGGATTGCTTGAGACCAGGAGTTTGAGACTAGCCTGAGCAACATAGTGAGACCTTGTCTCTATAAAAAATTAAAATGAAAAAATCAATAATTTGGGGAGTGGGGAAATGGGTAAATGCCTTTGTTTATTTTTAAATTTCAGTTTACTGTTTTGAATAGGTTCTACATTTATATGCTCAAAATTCAGAGTATACAAAAGAACTTACAGTGAGGTGCCTTCCAGCCCATTTCCCCAGGCACCCAGTTCCCTCCTCCAGAGCCACTGCTCTTAGTAGCTTGTTGTATAGCCTTGCAGAGACGGTCTGTCCAGTACAAGCCAGTACATATGCTATTGTATCAGATGGAGCCCTTTGGAGGCAGAAGAGTCAGGTGACATGCCAGGGGTGGACCCTGTGTTTTTAACATGAATGTCCTTTCTACTGGGCAGATGAAATTACTTGGGTTGCTGCAGAATTGAAAGCATTTCTTGTTAGCAGATTATGATGTTATAACCAGCCCACTTGTACTTGCCAGGCCTCTTCTAAGATAAGCCATTGGCCCATAGGGAAGACACTGAACAGAGGCCGGGGCCTTCAGCACTCAGGTCTGACTCCTGCCTCTCTCTGGGGTGCCTGGCTAGACCACTTAACCTCCTTCAGCTTCGGGTTCCTTGACTGTACGATTAGAACATTAGATCAGGTGATTCTGTGGTCATTGCCAGCTGAAAAACAAATCTCTCGTAGGAAAATGAGTGGCTTTGTATTCAAAAACTGTTTGGATATTTAGCTAAAAGTTTTTAGTATTTAAGTAAAGCTACATTTTAGAATGATAGCCAAATTAAGAGCCAGTTTAGAATGGGTGCGGTGGTTCACACCTGCAATCCCAGCATTTTGGGAGGCCGAGGAGGGCAGATCACTTGAGGTGAAGAGTTTGACACCAGCCTGGCCAACATGGCAAAACCCTGTTTCTACTAAAAGTACAAAAATTAGCTGGGTGTGGTGGCGCACGCCTGTAATCACAGCATGGGAGGCTGAGGCACGAGAATCACTTGAACCTGGGAGGCAGAGGTTGCCACGAGCCGAGATTGCCCCGCTACGCTCTATCCTGGGTGACAGAGCAAGACTCTGCCTCAAAAAAAAAAAAAAAGCCAGTTTAAGAATGAGTGTTGTGGCAAAAGCTTTTGAAATTGAGCACTTTATTGTATTTACCTATCGGGATAACCATTTAGAGTACAAAGTCTATTTCTCTCTGATGTCCCTAGTGCCTTGAACATAGTGTGCTTTGATTCGTTAATAATAATAGAAACAGGCTGGGTGTGGTGGTTCACGCCTGTAATCCCAACACTTTGGGAGGCTGAGGCACGCAGATCGCTTGAGCTCAGGAGTTCGAGATCAGCCTGGTCAAGATACCCCATCTCTACCAAAAATACAAAAATTAGCTGGGCATGGTGACGCAGGCCTGTAATCCCACCTACTTCGGTGGCTAAGGCGGGAGAGTTGCTTGAACCTGGAAGGTGGAGGATCATGCCACTGCGTTGCAGCCTGGGCGACAGACTGAGACCCTGTCTCAAAAAAGCAAACAAAAATAATAATAAGCAGAAGAACAGCAATAGCGATAATAATAACAGCTAACATTTACTGAATACTTACAATGTGTTAGGTACTTGATATATTTTCTTTAGTCAACAGATAGCCCCAAACTGAAACAGAGAGATCATCATACAGCTAATACCTATGAGACCAGAACCTGAACCCAGACAGGCCGTGTCCCACCTGTGTAATTTGCCTGGAAGGAGAAATTAATGAATGATGTTCTGAAAAAGATCATTGAGAATGGGTATCAAATAATAATGAGAAAAAACACACACTGTCTTCTGTCTTCCAGAAAAAACTGCCTCTGACAGCTCTCGCTCAGAATATGCAAGAAGCATCAACTCAGCTGGAAGACTCTCTCCTGGGGTAAGAGTTGCTGCCTTCAGAGTGCCAAGCACCATGTGGGTTGGTGGAAGTGGCTGAGCCAGGTGGTGTATGTAGGACCTGTGAGAGGAACTGTGAGCATTGATGGCATGGCTCATCTGCTAGGAGACCGGCTCAGACTCCTTGGGAGAAAGTGGGGTCAAGGCCGCCGGGTTGCTGGAGAATCTTTCTTTTAGTAGGGGTCAGGCTGGAGTTGGATGGCAGAAAGGGCCATTAACAAAAAAGCAACTGATAGGATCAATGCCTATTCTCCTAATCTTGGACAGAAAGAACCTGGTCCCTTCTGTGTTCCAGGTATTAGCTCAGATTTAGAAACTCTGACCAGACCCTTTCAGTTCTTAGAGTCACATCCTTTACACGTGGTCACCAAAACATCCATGGTAGTTATCTAAAAAGAGTGTATGTTCTGAATTATTGAATTTTTTTTTTTTTTTTTACAATTGGCATGTATTCTGTAAATAATTTTAAAATATAAGTAAGAACAAAGCAGTTTTTATTGTAGGAGGGAAGGTATACCCTTCCTTCTGTCTGCTCCTGCCGTGAGGCTGGTATCCTCTAGCCCTGTCTGTTCTCTCTGGCTGTGAAGTAAGCCCTGCTTCCCAGCAGGATGAGGCCTTCAGACTTTTCAGTCCGTTTCTCAGCATGTGCAGTTCTCTCGCTGTCCTTTGGAGAGTAGTTTCCTCCCACTCTTCACCATTTCTTTCTCCTGTCTGCTACCATGTTTGGGGGCCCTGGGAGGAGCATGGCCTGTGCCCACCTGCCAGCATCCTCCTTCCCTCGAGCCTGGAAGTTTTTCCTGTTGGTGCTTCCTCATTCTATGGCCATCCTCATCACACCAGAGTGATACTGCATGCTAGCATGGTTATAAGTGTTTTCCAAGTAATAGTTCATTTAATCCTCAAAACAACCTAGGAGGTCGGTTGTATCAGCACTTAGAACCATGTTAACACACAGCATCACTCCCATTTTACAGACGAGGTTACTGACAGAGAGGGCAGGGAAATTGCCTGAGACTACACAGCGGGAGAAGAGCAAAGCCTGTATTCAGACTTGGCCAGCTTGGCACCAGAGAGCATGTTCCTGACTACGACACCATGGCCACCCCACACCAGTGCCACATGCATTTCTGGTGTCAAAAGAATCCCACAGAGAGCTTGCAGGGGAAGACGGGAAGGAAAGGAGAGGGAGGGAGGGATAGAGACTGCGGAGTTATATCACTGCATATGTACTTTGTATGATATCAGCTGCATGTTCGCAAGAACACTACAAGGAAACGTGATATTCATGTAACAGGGCCCTTAAGTATTAGCCGGCTAGCTCATCTGCATAGCAGAAAGGGAGCCTGGCCAAGGCCGGCCTCAGAGACATAAGATAACATGTAATGACCTTAATGTCTAATTTAAAAGATTTTCAGAGTATTTTGTGAACACTTGGTTTTCACCTGACTTGAGAATCTAATTCTTGAGTAATTTGTTATCTCACTGTTCACACATCGCCTCTGCCACCCCCACACACAAAGTGTGTGCCTGAGACAGTCGTTTTTATTTTAAAGCACATATCTGTGGACTCATGTTTTAGGCAACACCCTAAATTTAGAATATTTTATTTTAAAGGCTCTGTTAGGTAGCACCCTAATGCGTTCCTGTCCCATGGCAAGCAGCCCTGCATCCACACAGTAATCCAGTGCCTGATTTCATGAGCACATGCTCTTTGTTGGGGTGTCTTGTTTTTAAAGGAAGATGCTGGAGACGTGTGGAGATGCTGAGAATCAGCTGGCTCTCGAGCTCTCCCAGCACGAAGTCTTTGTGGAGAAGGAGATCGTGGACCCTCTGTGCGGCATAGCCGAGGTGGGTGCTTCACCGTGCAGCATGAAAGAGCCAAGAGTGGTGTGGGCTGGACAGTGAATGTTAAAATGTTAACAGTCGTTGCTGGCTTTAACGTACACTTCTTTTTGGAAATAAGGGGAGTCAATCGAAGGTACAAAATCCTTTGCTTTAGAGAAAAAATGTTTGTAAATACTGTCCTTTAAAATGGTTAACCTAAAAGCCCTGAAGTGCATCCCATTTGGTGTGTTCTTCCTTTTAGGTGGAGATTCCCAACATCCAGAAACAGAGGAAACAGCTTGCAAAATTGGTGTTAGACTGGGATTCCGTCAGAGCCAGGTAACACACGGCTTGAGCCAGCAGTGCAGCATCGTGTCCCATTCCCACCACCGGGGAAAGGAAGACCACTGACAGTGGACACAATAGAAGTGGTCACCAGTCTGTGCATTTGACCCCCAGACTGGGTGCCAGCATGCCAGCACTCCCTGCAGGCCTCGTTCTCCCAAGCGTGGCAGTGGGGTTGTCGTTAGAACATCCTGTTCTTAGTGAGCCAGCAGTGAAAGGAAATCATCTAAGGAAAATGAAGTGAGTATATTTAACGGCAGAGGGAACGGTGGCAGTTCTGAGAGCCCAACTCTTAAGAGTGTAGGAATAAACACATCTGTGGCCCTGACAGCTCATGAGGGTCCCGCTGTGTCACAAACCCTGTGTACTTGTAATACCTTCAGTACCGAGAAAGGAGACACTCAAATGGCAGGAACTCATGTAAACCAGTGTAGCCAAATCAACGCTGTTGATGTGGGGACTGATGTCAGCGAAGGAGTCTATCATGATTCAGGGCAGGACTGCTCCCTCTGCTCTGTCCTTGATGGAGTTTTTTGGCTTTTTTCTTTTCTTTTCTTTTTTTTTTTTTTTTTTTTTTTTTTTTTTTTTTTTTTTTTTTTTTTTGAGATAAGGTCTCGCTCTGTTGCACCAGACTGGTGCGATCATAGCTTACTGCTGCCTCAAACTCCCAGGTTCAAGTGATCCTCCTGCCACGACATCCCAAGTAGCTGGGACTACAGGCACATGCCACAGTGCCCAGCTACTTTTTAAAATTTTTTGTGGAGATGGTGTCTAGCTGTGTTGCCCGGGCTGGTCTTGAACTTCTGGCCTCAAGTGATCCTCCCACCTTGGCCTCCCAAAGCGCTGGGATTACAGCCATGAGCCTTGGTACCTGGCCTTCAGTGGAGTTTCTGTCACTGACTTACATGGCTTTCTTCTCAGGCATGTGACAGTTGGGAATGGGGAAACTGGCACCACCAGCCTCAGTCCTATTTCCTGCTTTATCACAAGGTTTGACAAACCTCTTCTGTAAAAGGCTGGATAGTAAATCTTTCTGGTGCTGCAACCCAGTTGCTCCCTGTTGTAACTGCTTAACTCTGCTGTTGTAGCATAAAGGCAGCTATGAGCAATGCATACATGAATGGGCATGGCTGTGTTCCAATAAAACTTTATTTACAAAAGCAGGTGGCTTGGCTGACCCCAGCTTTGTCAGCTCTTTTCATCCTCATTGCAGTCCTGTGAAGCAGATATGATTATTTCTGTTTGACAGATGTGTGGTGATAGAGCTATCATTTATTGAGTTCTTCTGTATCTGATGCTTCTATTACAGATTTATGGCTGTAATAAAAGGGCTGCATTTCCTTGTTTCTAAGAAGTGGTTGAGTATTAGATGCATCACTGATTTAATATCAGGTGATTTGGAGAAAGTAAACACCAGTTTATTAAATGTACAAGTCAGTTGTGAAGATGAGTTCTGATTTAAGAAATGCTGAGATGAGAAAAGGTTTATTTAGGAATTCACACGTGGTGAAGACTCTGCTAGTGCAATTATCAAGTGACTTACCTGACACTTGCCACATGCCAGGGATCGAGCTACTTTCATCGTATGTCAGCCCATTTGATTCTCGCACCAATCCATGTTCATTTGTTCATCTGTGTTTTCAACTGATATCAATTGGGTGCTCAGTGTGCACCCGACTTTGTGCTAGACTCTAAATGCATGGGCCTTTCCATGTGACTTGGAGGGAACAGGGTAGAGGTTAGTATAACATTCCCTACTCTTAAGAGGAGGCTCGTTTTGCAGATAAGGGAGGGACCTGCATGTATTATCTATATGACTTGCTTTGTGCCTTCAAGAGCATAAATTGCAGTGTTAGGATTCTGACAGCAAAGTCCACTGTCTCCTGGTCATGTGTACATGTGATGTTCTCTGTCACCTGGGCTGGAGTGCAGTGGTGTGATCATAGCTCACTGCAGCCTCAAACTCCTGGGCTCAGGGGATCCTGCTGCCTCAGCCTCTCGAGTAGCTGCACACCACCACACCCACCTACTGTTTTTTCGTTTTTTTTTTAAAAATATGGAGTCTCTCTCTGTCACCTAGGCTGGAGTACAGTGGCACAATCTTGGCTCACTGCAACCAAGATGCCGGGTTCAAGCGATTCTCCTGCCTCAGCTTCCTTAGTAGCTGGGATTACAGGCATGTGCCACCACCCCTGGCTAATTTTTGTATTTTTAGTAGAGAGAGGGTTTCACCATGTTGACCAGGCTGGTCTCGAACTCCTGATCTCAGGTGATCTGTCTGCCTTGGCTTCCCAAAGTGCTGGGATTACAGGCGTGAGCCACTGCACCCAGCCCAGCTTTTTATTTTTAGTAGAGACGAGGTCTCGGTATGTTGCCCAGGCTGGTCTCAAACTCCTGGCCGCAAGTAAACCTCTCTCCTTGACCTCCCACAGTGTTGGGATTACAGGTGTGAGTCACTACGCCTGGCCTGTACATGTGATTGGAATCCTGTGTAGCTGGGAGTGCAGGTCACCCTGCGATACATTTTTGCTCAAGAGAAAGAAGAATGTTCTAATGATTAATTAAACAAGGCGGCAAATGCTCCCTCACTAAAGTTGGTTGAGCAGTATTACAGATGTTTATCTGACAGGAATTTTGCACCTCGAGTGCGTGTATCCCATAGGTGATTTTAATACTGATTCTTGATCTTGCATTCACGGTCTTGTTCACTTAATCACAGTAGGTGTTGGAGAAGCTAAAACAATTGAATATTTCTACTTTTTCTCATTCCTCTTGCTTTTCCCTGGACAAAAAGTGGTAATAATTAAGTAGAAATCCATTATATGCCAGACATCATATGCGTGCACACACATTTTTCTTGCCTTTCCTCCTCATGACAATTCCGCCAGGCAGACAGTGTTTGTGAGTTTTGTAGATGAGGCAACTGAGATGCATAGAGGCTAAGTCACTAACTAGGTCACATAACTAGTTAGGGTAAAGCTGAGCTCCAAACTTGGACATGTCAGACTCGGAAGTCTATGCTCCTTTCACAACATAGCATCTCCAGTTTTGCTTTGGTGGACTTGCCGAAGCCTTTCGGTGGAGGAGTGTGTCACGTCAGGAACACGAAGTGGGCAGAACATGGCATTTTGGGGCACTGCAGCAGTCTAGAAAGTTTAGTAAGTAGCTAACATGGGTTTTCATGCTGCATTTTATAACATCTGTGTTTACATTTAAAGTGATAGAGCTTTCCGCAACACCAGACATACCCATTTTCAGAGGATCAAAGCACATTTGAAAATCAAAAATTGTTTTCTATGATTATTTCCGACTTATCCGCTATTATTACTATAGTTTCTTTTTTTTTTTTTTTAGTGCTTTCATTGCTATTGATTGATACCTACATTATTATTGTTATTGTTGTTTGTGGACATGGAGTCTTGCTGTGTTGTCCAGTCTGGTCTCAAACTGATCCAACTCAAGTGATCCTCCCGTCGTAGCCTCCCAAAGTGTTGGGATTACAGGCATGAGCCACTGCACCCAGCCTGATAGCTACACTATTGAAGTTCTGGCTTTTACTTGCTGAAAGTAATCATAGGTCGCAGATGGTAGTATGGTAGTAGAAAGAGCCACAAGAAGTTCTCAGAAGCAGGAGCTGATTCCCAGTGGCACGGGGAACATTTCAGCTCAAAGCAAGAGAGCAAGGAGACCACCTTGCTGTCCTCCAGTGGCAAGGATTCCATGATTGGCCACCACAAGAAAGGGATTCCATGGATTTTTCTCCAGTAGTGGAGTTTGTGTGAGACAAGATGTGGTTGGTTATGCTCAAAGCAGACCACTACTCCTGGCACTACGAGAGTCCTGTCATGGTGGAAAACTAAAGTCTCCTTTTGCCTGCTTCTGTTCTTAGAGGATAAGCTCAAGAGAAGTTGGCATCCTGGGCAGTGATACCCCTTCCAGGTAGAATCAGTTTTGAGGAAGGATCTATCTCCACTAGGTCCTACCTCCAGCTGTTGAGTATACACAGCTGGTTCTCAAATGCTGGCGACCCCATTGTTTTGCAGGTGGAACCAAGCTCACAAATCCTCAGGAACCAACTTTCAGGGGCTTCCATCAAAAATAGATACTCTAAAGGAAGAGATGGATGAAGCTGGAAATAAAGTAGAACAGTGCAAGGTATGAGAATTCCTTGATAAATGTGTACTTGCATCTTTCTTTTCGGTTTTTGCAAATGAGGGATGAAAGTTCAAATGTAAGTTATTTGATGTTTTAAATAGTTTCTATCAGAATATTTTGAATGATTTTAAAGGTAGGTTTTATTGTTTTCTTTCTTACTAAGACTCTATTATTTTATGATTAGAATAAACATTTTAAATTCAAATAGGATATTTTTAAAAACTTGACAAGATGTCTAAGCTTACTTAAAGACGAAGTCAGAGAAAAGGAAAGAAAACCATAGCAAAACATGTAATGAAGTTACAGCAATTAAAAATGCATAAGAAAAACAAAAAAAAGAAGTAAAACTGTATAAGAAGCATTAAAATAGATCAGTGAAATAGTGTAGGTTTTCTGGAATGAATGCTATAATGTAGGATTTAATATACAGCAAGTGGCTCATATATCCTTGGAGAAGATAAGGATTACTTTTAAAATGTTGCTTGAACAATTGGTTTGTAATTTGGGAGAAATAGAGCTTTTATCTCCTAAATTATAGATAAATTAGATGGTCACGTGATCTCATTCTTTCTGCATCCACCTGTGTAGATAGATGTTCATTCTGAATGTTATTTGAGGTGGTAAATTATTTGAGATGGTAAAGGAATAGGTCTTTGGGGAGTCTCTAGAGTCTAAGTCTGCATTGACTTAGATTTTTTCCTGCTCTTATTTTTCATTGTTTTAAAAAAATTGTTTTTTTTTTTATTTCATGCTAATGTTAAGACTCTTATATTTTAGTTCATTTAGGTCATGACATACTTTGCTTTTCAAAGTAGCAAACCTTGATCAGTTAACTGTAGTTAAATGACTTGTTTAAAATAATATAGTGGGTAGAAATATAATAAAAATATAAAAATAATATAGTGGGTAGAAATTAAAACTAAACTCACAAAGTTATGCCTTTGTTTTAAAAAGTTTTTATGTTTAAAAGATGATATTCAGATACATGCTTCTAGTAAAATAATGTCACATTGGCTTATTTGTGGTCCAAAGAGTTGTAGCTTTGTCAGTGTCATTTACCCAGCAGTCTTCTTAATATCTGGTCTAACCTAGCTCTTGTCTATTGCACACAAATTTGGGTAGAGGTTTGGGAAGTCATCATGGGCTGATGTCTCTTCTCTCAACTTCCACACTTGTCAGTACTTCAAATGGTAAAATCTTATGGAAATATTTTCTGCCTCTTCCTCTCTTTATGCTTACCTTGTGGGTAATTTCCTCATATCTATGTTCCATTTCGCTGTTTTTCTCTTTAGCTGTGTCTGGTCTGCTACTCAAATAACATTGAGTTTTTAATTTCATTGACTATATTTGTCATTTCTGAAGTTCTAATTATTCAAATCTGCCCTTTTTGATACTACATTATTCTTTTTTAGTGTTTCTTGTAAATCATTTTAAATATACTTATTTGGTAATTTCTGTTAATTCTGTTTTCTGAAATTTTCTGTGAGAGTGGTAGGAGTTTGCTTATGGTGGATTATTTCCTTATGTGTTTTGTAATTATTGTGAAGTCATTTTAAGAGGAGCTTTATCTGTGGGACTATCAGGGATTGGGAATGAGGCTTCCCAGAGAGTATTACCAGTCCACGTCCATTTTTAATTAAACTTAAATCAGTTTGGGGTTTCTGGGACCACATGTCAGTAAATTTAAACTTCAGACCCTCATGAAAGCAGGTCTATGTTTGTGAAATCTCCCGGCCAATGTTTCTCAGACCTAAAGCCCGTTCCAAAACAGATGTACTTCCCTATCATTCCCATGTGATGCTAAGTGCATTTGTTCTAATCTGTTCTTTCGTTTAGGGTACAGTTCTTCAGGAATCTTTTCTTTATGCATGATACATGTATACTTGTTTCTCCTTACCAGGCCCCAAAGCTTCAAACACCTTGGTCACCAAGACTGGCACAAACCTGCCCCAGGTCATCCCCAGCTTCCACTGATGCTTAGCTTTCTGACTTTTTCTTTCTTTCTGCTTCATTTTCTTCTTTCTCTCTTTGTGTGTGTGTGTATGGTGGGGTTGAGGGGAATCAAGGAATTTACTTTATTGCTTTCCCAGTTATTCTAAAAGGATGTTCATTACTCCTAACTAGCATTTCCTAGTTTTTATCATAAATGGGAGGCCCTTCACATTAATTTGTGTACCTTGATGCCAAAAACAGAAGTCATTACATTAAAAAAAAAAAACTCTCTCTCTACATATGTATTTTCCAGCATATAAATGTTCATATATATAATTCCTATGTATATTTATATTTGAAGATTGGAAATACATACCTAATTGCCTAATCTGTCACTTAAAAAGTTTTTTTTTGGGCGGGTGCAGTGGCTCACGTCTGTAATCCTAGCACTTTGTGAGGCTGAGGGGGGAGGATCACTTGAGGTCAGGAGTTCAAAACCAGGCTGATCAACATGATGAAACCCCATCTCTATTAAAGAATAGAAAAATATTAGCTGAGCGTGGTGGCATGCGCCTGTAGTCCCAGCTACTCAGGAGGCTGAGGCAGGAGAATCGCTTGAACCCGGAGATGGAGATTGCAGTGAGCTGAGATTGCACCACTGGACTCCAGACTGGGCTACAGTGCAAGCAAGACTCCATCTAGCCATCTAGAGACTAGATCTAGCCCTGTTGTCCAGGCTGGTCTCAAATTCCTGGCTCCAAGCAATCCTCCCACCTCAGCCTCCCAAGGTGCTGGGATTGTAGGTGTGAGCCACCACACTCAGCCTGTCACTGTTTACAAAATTATTTAAGTTTTATATATGTAATTAATTTACATTAGGATATGAAAAAGTGTAAAACAGTATACTATGAAGTCTTCCATCCACCATTATCCTCCTCCTGCCTAATTTCCATTGCTCCCAGTAGGTAATAACTGCTACTAATTTCTTGTTTTTTTCATCAAGACATATTTTTATACGTATGTGACAATAACAGTATGACATTGCTGAGTGTGGTGGCTCATGCCTGTAATCCTAGCACTTTGGGAGGCTGGGTTGGGCGGATCACTTGAGGCCAGGAGTTTGAGCCCAGCCTGGCCAACGTAGTGAAACCTTGTCTCTACCAAAAATACAAAAAGTGTGGTGGCACACGCCTGTAATCCCAGCTACTAGGGTGGCTGAGACAGGAGAATTCCTTGAACCCAGGAGGTGGAGGTTTCAGTGAGCTAAGATTGTGCCACTGCACTTCAGCCTGGGTGACAGAGTGAGACTCTGTCTCAAAAAAAAACAAAAACAAAAACAAAATAAAAATATGAAAATATGACATACCCTTCCACCCCATTTTTTTTTTTTTTTTTTTTTTTTTTTTCAAAAAAAACAAAAACAAAATAAAATATGAAAAATACATATACCTTCCACCCCATTTTTTTTTTTTTTTTTTTTTTTGGAGACAGAGTTCACACTGTTGCCCAGGCTGGAGTGTGCAGTGGCGCAATCTCGGCTCACTGCAAGTTCCACCTCCCAGGTTCATGCCATTCTCCTGCCTCAGCCTCCCAGTAGCTGGCACTACAGGCGCCCGCCACTACACCTGGCTAATTTTTGTATTTTTAGTAGAGACAGGGTTTCACCGTGTTAGCCAGGATGGTCTCAACCTCTGACCTTGTAATCCACCCACCTCAGCCTCCCAAAGTGCTGGGATTAAGGGCGTGAGCCACCGGGCGAACTAGCCCTTTTTTTTTTTTTTTTTTGAGACAGAGTCTCACTCTTCTATACAGGCTGGAGTGTAGGCATGCCATCTCAGCTCACTGCAACCTCCACTCCCTGGGCTCAAGCAGTTCTCCTGCCTCAGCCTCTGAGTAGCTAACGCAGGCACCCGCCACCATGCCTGGTTAATTGTATTTTTAGTAGAGACGGGGTTTCACCACATTGGCCAGGCTGGTCTCGAACACTTGACCTCAGGTAATCTGCTCACCTCAACCTCCCAAAGTTCTGGGATTACAGCTGTGAGCCACTGCACCCAGCCATTCCACCCCTTTTTAAACCCAAATGTTAATAATACACCATAAGTAATGCTCTGTACTTTGCTTCTTAACCAGCTGTGTTAAAAATGTATCTTGGAGATCTTTCTGTGTCAGTCATATGAGAGGCTTCCTGATTCTTTCTGTATGGTTGTATCAGGCAGTTGATGGACATTTAATCTGTGGCGCTTTGCATCACTTTTTCATCTAAGAGCTCACAGAGATTGTTCTCAGGTGCCATTTTGTTTCACTTCTTTTTTCTTCAGTAACGTCTCCTCTTCCATTTACCCAGGATCAACTTGCAGCAGACATGTACAACTTTATGGCCAAAGAAGGGGAGTACGGCAAATTCTTTGTTACGGTAAGCAGCTTCCCTTGACAAAATGTTAAAGCATTATTAAAATGGAGTCATTTTAGCTTTTTTGCAAAAGATTTCATTTTTAGTTTTGCTCAGCCATTGTGTGTGTGTCCATCCGATGCTAACGTTACTTTTGTTTTTGAATGTGGGTCTGTTCTCAGTTATTAGAAGCCCAAGCAGATTACCATAGAAAAGCATTAGCAGTCTTAGAAAAGACCCTCCCTGAAATGCGAGCCCATCAAGGTAATGTAACCCGCGTGCGGCTGATGCTTCCTTCTTGCCTCTGCCACCTCTGCCTGGGTTCTTCTTCACCCTGACTCCTCTGCATGCACATCCTTGGGATAAAGCTTCTCTGCCTAGGAGGGTACTGTTTCCCGGCATAATTTCATCTTCCTTGCTGCATCTCTAACTTCTTCCAAACCCAAATTAACACACTAATAGAACATTTGTAGTTCTTCTGAAACCTTCAGTTGAAGAGAGAGCTGGCCTCTTTGGGGGAGTGCCTGTATGTTTTCCCATCTTCTAGAGGCTTGAAAAAGTCCAGCATCGAATGATCCTTTTCCACATCAGTTATTTGTTCCACAGGACTTAATTCTGGCCGTGTGACTCCGAGAGCATCCATTCTAGGGAAAATATTTTGGACTTTCCAACAGAGAAGCCAGTACTTGATGCCACATCATGCACGTCACACTTAATAACAAGTGTGATTGAATCCTAAGACCGTGGTCACTTCTTTCAGACTCCTCCTTTGTCTTTATACTAAGCTTTTGTTCTTGTCAGCACTAATATTTTGCCTGTCGTATTCAAGCACACTGCAGATTTTATCTGCGAGTTAGGTGCAGACTGAACTTTCCCCTTATGCTGACTTTTAAGTTGGGCATCTAAAGCTTTTTTTTTTTTTCCTCCCTAAAGCTTTTGATGCTGTGTCTCTCTGATTTACCATTAGAGCATTTACTGGCAGAGATGGCACAAGCGGTTGAGTCAGAAATTGCTCGGCCATCCTTGGGTCTATTTCACCTGTGCTATATACCTGACATTTGGAGCTTACGCTCCTCTGCAGAACCACTGGTGTTGAGCTGACAGGGGATCAGGCCAGGTGCTGAGTAGGATGACTTCGTGATTTTGAGACTGAGCGTGTGTGTGTGTGTGTGTTGCGGGGTGGGGGTGGTTTGTGGAGGTGCATACATACCAGCACCTTCAAGAATGCCACTTCTTCTCCCCCCGAGTTCCAAGAGATCCTCACAGGTTCTGGCTTTGTGCCTGAAAGTTTTTGGATTATGGAATTATAAAATTTTATGTCCTGACTGATCAGATAGTCACCTCTTCAGCATTCTCAGGTGCAATGTGTCTGATTTTCTCAGCCATTGCCCTTGCCTTCCCAAATAATCGAGAGTCCTAGTTCATGGAGAATGGCGTTGAGTCACAGTGCAAAGGAATGAGGTCTCTGGAAAATGTTCCCACCTTCCTAGGGACCGACTCTTGCTGGGCAAGTTCAGAGCATCAAGAAAATATATTTATGAGATATCTGCTATGGGCTGGGCCCCGCATAGGACAAAATAGTAGACAGATTATCATTGTAACCTTTGAGTGACTTAGAGTCTGATTTGAAAGAGGTGATTAACAAGAGGAAAGACAAGAAGATTGGATTTTTTGAGCATTTTTTTTTTTTTAAGAGACAAGATCTCACTCTGTTGCCCAGGCTAGACTAGAAGTCTCATTCTATTTTTTTCCCAAGGGTATTTTCCCTAGAGAAATATGTCAGGAAGCCATGGAGAGCGGGGATGGGGCAGGGAAGAGGTTAGGATGGAACAGCCCGTGGAGGAAGTGCGATTTGTCCTTCTTGCTGAGGTCACCCTTCACGAAGTTGCAGTTCAACCCCTCCCACCGCTGCCTGTCCTTGTACCTACCTCTCACCTTGGTTCTGTCTCTTCTTTCCTTGCTGTCTTCTCTGTTTTCAGAAAGACTTAGCTTGTCCTTACTATATAAAAAAAGTGTGACCTCCCCCCACGACCCCCTCACCTCCGTGGACTCCGTTGTCACATTCATGGTCAGTTGGTGGTAATCTGGTGCCTTCCTGACCTGAACACAACACCCCGTTTAATCTGGTTCTGCTTCATTTTTTCTGGTGGGCACTTCAGATGACCCCATCCTGCCTGCCACCTGTGTTTTCTTACCACCTTCCCACCCCTGAGTCCTTTGCAGTCTTGTGTCTACCCCCAATCACTCTGCTGTTTAGGAAAAAAGAGCACAGCATACTGCAGTTTTCAAAGGAGCAGCAACCACCCGTCAGATCCTGGCATTTGACCCAACATGGGCCGTCTCTTCTTTGTTCATGTTTATCTCCTTGCACCACTTGACTTCTTCTTTCATTGTGAGGACTCTGCATTGCTCCATTTCTTTTTAAAAATTTTCTTCAAGAAGGATTATATATTGCTCTATTTCTGTCTTCTACCCAGAAGTCAGCCTTTCTGAGGTCCAGTCCTTGCACCTTCGTTCTTCTCTCCCACCCTCACTTCTCGCCCCCTTTCCCCTAGAAATCCCTTCACTTGGACAGCTTTGCCTCTTACGTGCATTTTAATCCTTGCAGCGTCCTAAGCATCGGTTCCTTGTGATGAACAGCCCTCACCTTAAGCTCAAAAAGCAAACCAGTTCTCTCCCTACACCAACTGTCCCTTTCTCCCTTCTTGTCTCCCTCGTATCACCTTTCTCCAAGTGATTCAGATCTTAACCTTGGAACCCTTTTCTCCTTCCTCTCTTCCATCCAGTGCCTAAGTTCTGTCCATTTTGCCCTAGGCTCTGCCATCCTTCCTTCCCCTGGCCTGCTCTGCTCCATGCTCTCACGGCCTTGGCGTGAACTTGGGATAAGATGTAAATTCCCAGACTCACAATTCCTGATCTTTTCTCAGCCGATTGCCCCTCACAAAGATATGTTAGCCCATTTTTCAGCCTGTTTAATCTTTGTCCGTCTCAGGAGACCCCCTCCAACCTCACTTCCTCTGAGAAGCCTTCTCTGACAACTGCAGCCAATGGCAAACACTTTGCCTCCTGATTTGCGCCAGCATTTATTGTCTACACCAGAAGTCGCAAACAGCCGTATCTTTAAAAATTGTTAAAAGTTGGTTGTCGTCATGTGAAAACCAGATGCTTTGATGTAACAATCCTGATTTCTGGCTTCTCCTGAAAGTTGAGAGCATCTGGCGACACTGGCTCTGCTTTCCCTCGTGGCAGTGTTGGTTTGGTGCGGAGGAGTGGTTATCGCCTGTCGGCAGGTCGTGCACTCCCAACAGGATTCGTGCCCCTGTGCCACCTAACTGGCTCCTCTAGACAATTGCATTTGCGACCCTCGTCTATACCATCGATCTGCCATGACTTAGCAAATATGTCTCGTCTCGTTACTGATTGTTCTGTGTTTACATGTTTGTCATATTCCCTTCACAATTCAGTTGCCCTCTCCCTGAGGGTGGGGAGTCTCTGTGAACGTCACATGTCTCCTGCGGTACCTGGCACATAGTAGGTCTGTTGTTTAAGAGGCCAGTGCCTGAGGTGGAGTTTGCCTTATGACTTGCTTCTAGGTCAGTGATTCTCACTTGCACCTTTTGCTAACATTATACCAGGCTTGGAGGTGGGATACACTCTGTCCAGTGTTTACTAGAAAGTTCTAGCAGAGGTTTGAAGCATGCCCACCCCTTAACGTTACAGGGTTGGGCTTGTGGTGAAGGCAGTGGCGGGTGTCATTTGCAGAACTCCCCTGGGTGATTCCAGCGTATCCCCTAGTGGAAGGCTCACGTGGCCATTTTCAGCCTGTATTGTGAATCATTGCTTTAGATAAAAGGGACACAGTATTTCAGGTAAGGTTTGACCTCTGGGAAGGTCCAGACCCCCGGATGCATTTTCTGTTGGAAATTCCCCTGGCTGGTGCTGGGCTCCCCACAATTCTGAGAGTGGCTGGTGGCCTGCACCTCATATTTGTCCCCCACCTCCCTTTCCCTCCCCCCTTTCTTCACTCTTTACCTCTTGCTCTTTCCATCCGTTTTTACCTTTCCACAAGCTCTCGGTTCTATGGTTTTGTGGGATTTTATTTTTCTTCCTTCCCCATGTGCAAATCATGAGGGCCTCTACCCCTGCTGTGACATACGAGAGAGTGTAAGAGGACACACCAGAGTACATACTGCCTTCTTCCAACCCAGCTTTCTAACAGCAGAGCTGCTAAGGGGCCAGTAAAGGTGCAGAGAAGGACATGAACCCTTCCCGTTGTTGGAAAGATTTAAGCGTTTCTCCCTGGAGCAGTTTTCACAACTGGTTTGCCCTCCTTTGCTTCTGCAAGCTGCTCAGATAGCACTGTATCTCTGCAGCTTGCACAGGCAGGCCAAACTCAACCAGATACTACTTATTCTAATTCATATGTCCGTTCTCTGAATTCTTCTTTCTATTTTACTGCTTCATTGTATTTGTGCTAAGCTGCCTCATGACCTGAAGATAATCTAAAATATGGCTTTCCTGCCGTCAGCATAGCCTTCAGCTGCTTTAGGGCTGCAGATACTGCATTTCTTTCCACTCAGAATTTTTCGGAGCTGTTTGGGGATGCGGCGTTCTGAAGCACTGCATGCCGTGGAGATGTCGCATCTGATGGAGAGTAACTGCAACGTGGAGAGTTCACGTTGGCCATCTCCAGTCTTGTATGACAGATGCTTAACTTGTGTTTGAAATTTTCAGAGATTATTTCCATTTTTGCATAGCAAAGAGTCTATTTCTTGTCCTCTAGCTAGAAGGCTTTGCATGGCTAGAATAAATTTCTTTTCAACGAAACAGTACGCTCTGGCGAATCTTCCTTTTAGTGCAAGGCAGCCCACTAAACCCACTGGCGTGTGTTACTGAAGCGTGGTGCAGGTGCAGCGCGCCACTGCAGCTTCTAGGCAGCCTGAGTTGGGTGCCATCTACGTGCGCTCAGGCTTCTGTTCCGCAAGTCACTGCCCCAGCCTGGCCCGTAGTGTGTGCTGCTCCAGTAGATGGCAAATAACGAAAGCAAATAGAACAGATGTATCCCCTGTTCCCAGAGCCTCAGCTACCAGTCTGCTAGAAAAGTGCATTGGGTAGTTTGGGGAGAAAATAGCTTGGTAATGCCGTGAGTTTGTTGGGTGTCTAACTGAACAATTTGCTGCTCTAGATAAGTGGGCAGAAAAACCAGCCTTTGGGACTCCCCTGGAAGAACACCTGAAGAGGAGCGGGCGCGAGATTGCGCTGCCCATTGAAGCCTGTGTCATGCTGCTCCTGGAGACAGGCATGAAGGAGGAGGTGAGGGGAGCTTCGTGATCCTGTGCACCAGGTCTCTGTGTCCCTTTTTCTGCCCAGAGCTCCATGCTCCCCACCAGCCCCCTCCCTTAGTTATACAGCCGTTGTCTGTTTTGTGTAGAACAGTGACTTTCAAGCTTTTGTCACCATGATCCATATTTTAAATTGCAACCCTGGTCCTTATGATACCTGTCTGTCCGTGAATGAAACAAAGGTTTTACAGAACAATATTTATCTTTCCTGCTTGTGGTACACCCTGACCTCTTTGTGTCCTGTTTGATTGTTTCATTTAAAACTCTGGTTGTGATTTGTGACAGTAGATTTCGTGATGCACTAATGGGCTAATGAGCTTTAGTTTGCATAGTATTATGCAGTTTTTTTGGGTGGGGATCATTTACATACTTAATTTTACGGGATTCTTACCCCAAACCCCCCATGAACCAAATAAAGGTTTTTATTATTCTTCTTGTATAAATAAGGAAGTCAGCATGCAGGGAGTTTACACCAGGTCAGAGCCAGAATCAAAATGCAAGACTTTTTTTTTCCCCTTTTTAAAACTTCGTATTGAAATAGAACATACACACAGAAAAGCATACGTATCATTAAGTGTTCAGCTTGATACGCTTGCATGACTAAATCCACCCATGGAATCGGCACTCAGATCAAAGAACACCCTGGAAGCCCTCCTTGTGTTTGCTTCCAGCCACTCCCCTTCTAACAGCTTAGGTTGGTGCTTCTTGTCTGGGGCTAGATTTGCTCCCCAAGAGACATTTATCAAGGTCTGGAGGTATTTTTGATCATGACAACTGAGAAGAGGAGGTGTTACTGTCATCTAGTAGTAGATAGAGGCCATGTGTATTCGTCCATTCTCACACTGCTATAAAGCACTACTTGAGACTGGATAATTTATGATGAAAAGGGCTTTAACTGACTCACAGTTCCACAGGCTATACAGGATGCATGGCTGGGGAAGCCTCAGGAAACTTACAGTCATGGCGGCAGGCGAAGGGGAAGCAGGCACAGTGTTGACGTGGGGGAGCGGGGGGGAGAGAGCGAGCGCACGTGCAAAGGGGGAGTTGCCACACACTTTCAAACAACCAGATCTTGTGAGAGCTCACTCACTATCACAAGAACAGCAAAGGGGAAATCCACCCCCATGATCCAGTCACCTCCCACCAGGCCCTGCCTTCAACACTGGAGATCACAATTCCACATGAGATTTGGGTGGGGACACAGAGCCAAACCGTATCACCATGGATGCTGCTAAACATCCTACAGGGCACAGGACAACCTCCAACAAAAAAATAATCCAACCGAAAATGTCTGTAGTGCTGAGGTCAAGAAATCCTGCCTAGATTAATTTTCTTCCTGCCTGTCCCTGTGCTTGAGTACATGCTCGGCCCTCGTCGTTCCTCCTGACAGCCCTGTAGGGCAGGCAGTAACACCGCCGTCATAGATAAGAGCTGAGCAGAAGTCGGGAAATCCCCATCAGAACACACTGCCGCTTAGTCTGAGTCTCCCAACCTGCTCTTGATGCTGATGGCTTTTCATTATCTTTAGGGCCTTTTCCGAATCGGGGCTGGGGCCTCCAAGTTAAAGAAACTGAAAGCTGCTTTGGACTGTTCTACTTCTCACCTGGATGAGTTCTATTCAGACCCCCATGCTGTAGCAGGTGAGTGCCAAAGACTGTCTGCAAATCAAGTCACCCTCAAGGCAGTGGGCAGGTTCTGTCTCAGACAGATGGTCAGTTAAAATCCCATTTCAATTGTAGGTTTAAGCGACAAAACCGAAGTGGCCTCTTGCTACAATTCCTTAGTGTATATTAATGTAATGTTCACATGTGTCTTCTTTACTCCTTTTTATTTTTCTATTTTCTTGATGATTAAAAGAGGAAGTAGCTTATAATGCAAATATTTGGAGACATACTTGTATTTTCTTCCCATCTTTCACAGTCTCCCCCCACCAAATTCATATCTACCCAGAGAAATTATGTCTATTAAGGGAATGACTTTAAAACTAAATTTATTGGTAATTAATCTCTTAAAACTTTGTTTTTGCAAGAGATTGAATTTGTTTTTTGAACATTTTAGTCTCTAACCACTCTTGCCAACTTACGATTTGTTGTATACACCTTGGAAGATTGTAATTGAGATCATTTCAATCTGCAAAATAATATGTCCCAAGATTCTTAGCCTTACTCCTTTTTCATACTCAAAGAGAGTGTTAATGATTTCAGGTGCTTTAAAATCCTATTTACGGGAATTGCCTGAACCTTTGATGACTTTTAATCTGTATGAAGAATGGACACAAGTTGCAAGGTAAGTTTAAAGAAACACAGAGTTGTAAAGGGAATGATGTGATATTGTGCTCTATTTGTAAATCATTTTATTCTCAGGGGTCATAACATTAAAATAGCATATTTGTTAAATAATACATGTCTCAGCTCTTATTTATGTTTAGAATAAAAATATCGAGTAATGTAATTATTAGTGTAGGAAAGTCACCACTTAGGCATTGGTTTAAATTTGTGTTACGTGGATGAAGACGTAGAGTGGTATCCATATTAATGGATTTGCAAATTTCTAGCCCCCTTTATGTTGAAGAAAGCCCTGTAACTGGGGATACAGGTCATACTGACCCGTGGCAGTGTACCTTTTGAGCTGTATGCAAACTTACCTGTGCAATGATACAATTGGCCTTTAAACAGCATGGGGATTAGGAGCAGTGATACACTACGTAATTGCAAATTCAAGTAATACTTTTAACTCCCTCAAAACAACTAATAGCATACTGTTGACTGGAAGCCTTACTGATAACGTAGTCAATTAACACATATTTTGTATGTTGTATGTATTATATACTGTATTCTTACAATAGAGTAAGCTAGAGAAGAAGTACTATTAAGAAAATTGTGGCCGGGCGCGGTGGCTCAAGCCTGTAATCCCAGCACTTTGGGAGGTCGAGGCGGGCGGATCACGAGGTCAGGAGATCGAGACCATCCTGGCTAACCCGGTGAAACCACGTCTCTACTAAAAAATACAAAAAAAAACTAGCCGGGCGAGGTGGCGGGCGCCTGTAGTCCCAGTTGCTCGGGAGGCTGAGGCAGGAGAATGGCGTGAACCCAGGAGGCGGAGCTTGCAGTGAGCTGAAATCCGGCTACTGCACTCCAGCCTGGGCGACAGAGCGAGACTCCGTCTCAAAAAAAAAAAAAAAAAAGGAAAGAAAAATGTAAGGAGGAGACAATCTGTTTATTATTCATTAAAGAGGAGTGGATCATCTTAAAGGTCTTCATCCTTGTTGTCTTCATGTTGAGTAGGTTGAGGAAGTAGAGAAAGTGAAGGTGTTGGTCTTGCTGTTTCAGGGGTGGCAGTTCATCTGTGAGTTTTTCACAGATCTCCAGGAATTTTCCTATATGTTTATTGAAAAAATTGCATATAAGTGGATCCTGTGTTGTCAGCTGTATAATGATGACATTAATATTTACTGAGCATTTTCTTGTGCTCAGTACTGTGCTCATCTTTGTAGCTATTACCTCCTGTAATCTTTAACATTATAAAAGGCAGATGATGATGTGATCCACATTTTACAGAGAGGAAACCGAAAAGGGAACAGGGCCAGGATAGTAGCAAGTAATTGGCAGAGCTAGAATTCAAACCAGACGCCCAAATGCTATGTTTCTCTTCTTTGTCCCTTTCCCTCCACCCTCAGCTTCAGTCTGTCTAGGAACAGTTGATTTTAAGCAGGACAGCTTTGTTTTAAAATCCTAGAGGCTTCTGCTTGCTGGCCAGCCCACCTCCTCGTCTTTTTTCTCGTGGTGCTGACTCCCCTCCTCTCCAGAGTGCCTACTCCTCACCACTAAGGGAAGAGGAGCAAATGTCACCTCTGTTCTGTCCTCTTCCCCGTCTGCGGACACTGCCCCTGTTCCCCTCAGGCAGGCCATGATCAAATAAGAGCCACTTATTTCTGATCAGTTACACTTCAGTGGATGTGAGTCCATCACTCGTCTCTTTAACCAGGTTTTGCATTTGAGCTTTTCTTTTCTTTTTCCTTTTTTTTTCTTAGATGGAGTCCTACTCTGTTGCCCAGGCTGGAGTACAGTGGCACAGTCTAGAGTCACTGCAACCTCCACCTCCCTAGTTCAAGTAATTCGCCTGCCGCAGGCTCCCAAGTAGCTGGGATTACAGGTGCCCGCCACCATGCCTGGCTAATTTTTTTGTATTTTTATTAGAGACGGTGTTTCACCATGTTGGCCAGACTGGTGTCGAACTCCTGACCTCAGGCAATCCGCCTGCCTCGGCCTCCCAAACTGCTGGGATTACAGGCATGAGCCACTGTGCTCAGCCACATTTGAGCTTTTCTCTGTAACTGTGAAATGAGAGACTTTGTCCCTGGTAGATGGTGAGGTGTTCAAGTTCAGAGACAAGTTCTTAGTCATCACATGTCTTTGGAACCCTGCCTGGGGACCAGCCTACTGTCGGTATTAATGTTTATGGGACAGAATTCAGTGGAATCCAACATCAGTGTTAGGTGAAGGAGAGTTGTGGGATTTCTTTTATTGGGTAGCCTAGAAATAAAAGATTTCTTTGTTTATTACAAGGAAATAAACTTGTAAAAGAAGATGTCTGTCTGTTGGTATATTGATTCTATAGTTGAGAGTTGTCAACATGGTGGGCTTCCATCCCAGTAACACATCGACTGGCCTCTAAAGTGTAATTATGTTTAATCCCTGTCCGTACTCTCCAGAATGGTTCCATTCTGGAGGATGTTTCGAGTTCAAAGTGGTGTTATGGAGGCCTCTCTATCACTCTTGGTCCCTAGACAGCAGAGTAGGCCGTGCTCTGCAGGCTCCTCCCTGCCCCTTTTTTTATGTCTCTGCAAGTTTGTACATTGCGCCCGTGGAGGGCAAGAGCTCTTACAGTTGCTTCACAACAGAAATGGGCTGCTTGGTGTGTAGCCGGTGTGCAGTATTGCAAGCGAGGAAAGGCCCAGAAGTCTGGGTGCCTGGGAGCTCAGCCCCCTGATCTGTGGCCGGGCTGCTTGAGGGTAAGAGAATTTGGGCTCCATGAAGCTATACATCAGTACACACTTTTTCTAGACAGATTTTTCAGTAGTGTCTTGCCTCTTCTGTGCCAAGCGTTGGTGGAGGTGGTTTTGCCACAAAACCACCTCAAAATCGTTCAGCAGACGCCTAAAATTGTTCAGCAGAATCAGCACTTACCCTGTTTTGCACATCCAGAGATTGAAGGTTAACCAACTGCTCAGAGTTAAACAGTTAATTGGTATTTGACTCTAAATCTGTTTATTTCCATAGTCTGGGCTGTTTTCCAAGTGTGCTTTCTCTGTCAAAATGGAGGCCTCACTTTTAATATAGCATATTAATAGGGTATTACTAATCGGTGTTTTAATAAGTTGTTATACTTAAAAGTTTTTTTTCTCAGTGTGCAGGATCAAGACAAAAAACTTCAAGACTTGTGGAGAACATGTCAGAAGTTGCCACCACAAAATTTTGTTAACTTTAGGTATGTATGATTGAGCTACAGTGACTCTGGAATAAGGATAGGTTTAGTGTCCCGCAGAGAAGTCATTTAATTCAGGCATACTTGGCACATTAAAAAACGACAGCAACAACAAAAAACACATCACTTTGGAGGGTAACTTGGGGCTACTGGGAATGGGATTTCATGTATATTATGATGAATCTGAAGCATTGGTATCATGCCTGACATTAATACATAAGTTGGCTTATCATTTTCCCACTACAGCTATTAGCAATAAATTTCTTGTGAAAAGTTTGAGTGACTGTATGTTGGGTTTGGAGTCCAAATCGTCCAGTATGTTAAAGGCAAAATTAATCAATAGTTGTACATTCTGTAATGTCTTTTATATATGCTACTTAATTTATTTTTAAGTATAAATCATCTTACTAAATAAAATTTCAAGGAATGGAGATTATATATTACTTTGTGGAATAACTGTGGTTTTAAGAAAATTTACCATGGGACAAAATTTCCGTAATGTAACTTCTGTTTTCCTTTTGACTTAATATGTAACTTTGAACAAGTATAGAGAAAAGGAAAAAGTGGCCCCTGGGAATAAAGTCACTCAAAACCAAACAAGAAAAATGTTCTGGGAGGACTTTCTAGAACATTTTCTTTGTTTGGTTTTGAGTGACATTAAGTGACCAACCAAAATACTTTACAGGTGATATGTCTAGAATGTTACTTGTCCTTAAATTCAGCCTTGGGCTCTGCCACTAAGCTAAGCTACGTACTCCCTTTTAAATATTCCCTTTGATTAATTTAACTCACCCAGCTTGGAGTTACAGATCCTCTTCCTCTATTCAGTGTATGTGGTGAGAACTCAGTACTTCTTAGTATGTTGGGAGTTGGGCTCTTTATTTTGTTAATTTTACTCTGTAATTGTTACTAATTGATTTTTGAATAGGGAGCACATTCCCTTGGTTCAAAATTCAAAATTCAAAAGGTATGCAATGAAAAATCTCTCTCCTGTTCCCATACCCCAGCCACCCAGTTCCTCTCCTGAGATGCATCTGGTGTTTACAGTTGCTTATATATCCTCTCAGCAAGAGTTGATGTAGATGTAAGCAAATACATTCATGTGTACATACTTGCCTACATATTTTTTCTCTCACACCCCCTTCTTTAAAAAACTAAATGGTAGTGTATATTGTATACCTCATTCTCCCCCTCACCTTTTTTGCTTGACATCTTAAGATATTTGCTTAATACATCTTGGAGATTTTTCCCTCTCAGTACATTGTGTAATGATGGTTGCATAATCCTCCACTGTATGGATATACTGTGATTTATTTAACCAACTCCCTATTGATAGTCGGGTTGTTCTTACGTTTTTGCCTTTATACGACTGTACTTATGCATAAGCTATACATACATAGCTTATATAATTGGATATTTTTATAATTCCAACATAAAGTATTTTCAAATACAGTTTCCTTTAAGCAATATAACTGTGTCTGTTTTTGTATTAAAAAATATTGAGCTCACTATTAACACATTATAACTTAGTAGAATAGATAGGACATAAAGGAGAAATTGATTTGAAATATATAGCCAATAGAGGTTCAGATCGCTGAGATTTATACTTAACCTATTTTCTTCTTCCAAGCCCTAATGAGTCTGTTATCTGAAGCAAAGAACACAAGAACTGTATAAAATGCTTCACCTGAGCCAGATTCTGATTTAGGAACTCTCTGCAGTTAGCACCTGAGCAACCTGGGATTGTGCACCTGGGCAGGAGGAGACTATTCCAGCAGCTATTTCAGAGGAGAAACCCTCCCCTTCTCTTTTGACCCCTAGATATTTGATCAAGTTCCTTGCAAAGCTTGCTCAGACCAGCGATGTGAATAAAATGACTCCCAGCAACATTGCGATTGTGTTAGGCCCTAACTTGTTGTGGGCCAAAAATGAAGGGTAAGTCGTCTTCCTCTGTATCACATCCTTTGAATTTCTTCTTTCCCACCTGTCGGGATGCACAGAAATGTAACTCAGGTTACACATTCTCGGTTAAGATCAATTCGAGGTGTTCTGAAATTGCTTTTCTCATTCAGCCAATATTCTTGGAACACAGCTGTGAGCTGGGTGCTGTCCCAGCTGATGGTGACACAAAGATGTGTGAGATATTGTCCCAGTTCTCAAAATGCCCCTGCTCTTAGGCAGTCAGATAGCTCAGTGGCTACAGTAGAGTGATAAGAAAAATACACATATCTGTGTGTGTGTATATGATATTGTAGGAGGGGTAGCACTTTACTTCCACCCTCTTAGGGTGTCTGGCTGGACCTGAGAACTAAATGGACGTAAGACAGGCTAACAGGAGAAAGCATACAGATTTTTACATTTTAATGCCCAGCAGAGAAGTCATTTAATTCACGCCTACTTAGCACATTAATTAAAAAAAACACATCACTTTGGAGAGTAACCTGGGACTACTGGGAATGGGATTTCACGTATATTATGATGAATTAGAAGCATCAGTGTCATGTCTGACATTGGAGTTCCCATAGGAAAATGAAGATCCAAAGAAGCAGTTAAGAGCCGAATGCTTATATATGAAGTTGGACGAAAAGTGAATTGTGAAAACAGGACCAGACAAAGGAGTGTGGGCTAGGGCAGTTAGTTATGGAGAAGTGACTAGGAAGATAAGGATTTGTTCAGCAAGGTTTGTTTATGGAGGTTTCCGTCAGCCTTGCCTTCCCATCCCTGGTGTTAGGAATGTTTCTTTCCTCCTGGTATGTGTAGGGAGGGCATCCTTCATGTGGGAGTTTATCTCCTGCTTTCAGGATGAAAAAGGAAGGTCGGAGCACTCTTCTTGCGTGTGATGATTTTCAAGTATCTTTAACTCAAAATAATCCTGTGCCTAAGGGGCATATTTTGGGATGGCATATTCTGCCCCCTTTATCAAGTATGACGGCAACAGAGGTAAAGAAACATAATTCAGGCTGAGGAGTCAGGGAAAGCCCTGGCTAGGGAATGGCACTGGAGCTGTACCTTGATGAGTTAATAAGTTTCCTACAGCCAGGACCTGGATGGGCCAAGACACTGTTGAAACGGCCTGGTTCCCATCGTTTACGGGTGTGTCACATGGCCTCATGAATCTTGAAGACAAAGAACATGAGGCTGTGACTGGGAAGGCCAGAGCCTTCAAGGTCCTCACACATCCTGCTGAGGTGTCTGGGACTTATTTTCTGGCTGGTGGGGAGTCATTCATTAAGGTTCCTAAGCAGAAGAATGTCTTGATTAAGTTGCACTTAGATAACTTTATTGGCATTGCGAAATATAGATTGAATAGAGGAGTGGTCGGGGGATCCGCTAGAAAGCTTCTGGGAAATTGCCACTCTGTTGGTGGCATTGTGATGATCTTATTTAGTAATCAGAAGTAACCTTTTGAATAGAGGACATAAGGGAGAAATTGATTAGAAATATATGGCAAATCGAGGTTGAATCATTGACATTTGTACTGTCGTCCTTGTGTTTGCAGATGAGGACACGGACTCTTAGAAGGAACAAGTAATTTGCTTAAGGTCACACACAGGGAACTGGTGTGCCCAGGTTCTGGGTACAGAGCCTGTGTCCTTATTAATCCTTATTAGCTTTCCAGTACTCTTCTAAAAGAAAAGTGGGAAAGGACGTGAGAGGACAGTTCCACCCTAATCCAGCAGGGTTCTAAGGCACACAGACTGATCAGACTTCGTGTGGGAGGAAGGCTGGGAAGGATCATTTACAGGCAGAGCTTCAATTTTAAACTGGAATTTGAAAGGAGTGAGAAATTTTACTTGGTCGGAAAGTGGGTGACAATGTTCTGGTGGGAAGAGAGGTCAGAGTGATAGAGGAGAGGTTTGAGGCAGTCAGACCTGGGATTGAGCTTGGGAACCCAGTGTCCTCATGTAGGCCTCATAATAGGTTGTTGTAAAAATTAAGCAAGATGAAGAACCTACAGCCTGGTAGGTGGCCAGAAAATGTCAGGCCTTTTGCAGGTGGTTTGCTTTTGTGATGTTCTGACTCCCAACTGAAACAGGAGCTTGGCAGCAGTGATAATAACTCTTACTTATTTTTTTCTTCTTTCTTTCTTATTTTTTTTATTTTTATTTTTTTTGAGACAAGGTCTCACTCTGTTCTCCAGGCTGGAGTGCAGTGGCGTGATCATGGCTCACTGCAGCCTCAGCCTCCTGGGCTCAGGCAATCCTCCCACCTTAGCCTCTCCAGTAGCTGGGAGTACAGATGTGCACCACCACACCTGGCCAATTTTTGCAGAGACGGGGTTTCACTATGTTGCCCAGGCTGGTCTTGAACTCCTGGCCTAACTGCCTCAGCCTCCCAAAGTACTGGGATTACAGGTGTGAGCCACTACGTCTGGCCTACTTATTTTCTTCTTCGTGAGCCTTGGCATCAGACACTGTTAACATCTGAACACTCATCTTGAGACTAGTCCACATATATGGCGACCTTAAGTGTGAGTGGGAGGCTCAGGTTTCAACATAATAAAAGGCACGCTGTGCCAATGCATGTTCTTGGTGACATCATAAGCAAAATTGCTTTTTAGTGATCTTTAGTCTTAGAACATAGCTACCACCCATGTGTGATGCTGTTCCAGTGGGAAAGTGCAACCCTCATTCTAGACCAGTTTAAAACTGGCATTTGATACAGCAGTGGTGACTGACTGGTTTCACTGCCCCCCAGGGTCTGTGTGTAGTGGACACTGTGGTTGTTGTCACAGTGCAGATGAAGGAGCAGCCAAGCCAGAGTCATTTTTTCCTGGGTGATCACAGCCACGTTCATAGACCAGGACTATGTGAATTTGATCTTTTTTTTTTTGAGACGGAGTTTCACTCTGTCACCAGGCTGGAGTGCAGTGGCGTGATCTCAGCTCACTGCAACCTCCACCTTCCGGATTCAAGTGATTCTCCTGCCTCAGCCTCCCGAGTAGCTGGGACTACAGGCACGCACCACCACACCCGGCTAATTTTTGTATTTTTAGTAGAGACGGGGTTTCACCATGTTGGCCAGGATGGTCTCGATCTTTTGACCTTGTGATCTGCCTGCCTCAGCCTCCCAAAGTGCTGGGATTACAGGTGTGAACCACCACACCTAGCCAGTGAATTTGATTTTTGCATCTTTTAAATATTTTATCCTTTAAAAATAATTGAATTGCCCTGACACAACCAGCAGAAATTAGATGCTGCCCACGGGAAGTATTTTAATTTTGTGAACTTCTTTGCAGAACACTTGCTGAAATGGCAGCAGCCACATCCGTCCATGTGGTTGCAGTGATTGAACCCATCATTCAGCACGCCGACTGGTTCTTCCCTGAAGGTAATTCTCATTTCAGTTTCATTGACCGCCAAAGCAATGTGATAATCATACAAAAAAGTCTTCTTAAAGAAGAAAATACATCTGTAATCCTTCTTCATGATTATATAATTGGTTTCACATTTTTCATGTTTCTTTCCAGCCTTTGTTCATTACATTTGTATTTTGACATAATGGTAATCATATTGTATTGTCTTTCACTCAGTTTCACTAAAACATAGCTAGTCAGTGTACGTTGAATACCCACTAGGTGCCATATGTTTGCTGGTGAAGCATGCTGCCTTCCCTAGGGGAGCTCTGGCCACGGGAGAAGACAGCCACATGAACAGATAAATTCTAACACATGGTAAATTAGAAGATAGGTGGAGGGAGAAAGATTTCACAAACTCAGGTGCTGGGAAACGGAGCCAGAGATTGGTTTTTAGAAGAGGCGATGTTGAATATGCAGGCGGTTTTCACTTGGATTTGCCCATAGGTAGGAGATAAAGCAGAAAAGGTTGATCAGGGCCAGTTGGTGAAGGCCTGAGTTGGTTGTGTCAGGGAATTAGTATTTCATCCTGTTGGCAATAGATTTTCAAACTAGGTTTGTTGCAGTCCTGGGATCCACAGAGGTTTCCATGGCCCCCTTTGGGGATGCTGGCCAGGCAAGTGTTAGAACTCTGGATCCCCCACACCTACTTCCCCCAGAGCAGCCCTGCTGCCATGTCCCGTGGGGTGCAAGCCTCACGATACCCATCTTTTCTTCACCACTGTTTTGTCACCATCAAGAGTCATGCCTCATTCTTGTACGTTGCCCCTGGAAGATGGGATGGATGAATGAATGCTAGCATTCTGCTCAAGATTTTCTTTGAGGAAATGAGTCTTGCAAAAACTGCTAGAGGCAGTGTGAACTTGATGTTGCCTTTTTTTTTTTTTCCTGCAGTTGCAAGATTTAATAGAGTAAAAACAGAGCTCCCATACAAAGGGAGGGGACCCAAAGAGGGTAGCCGTTGCTGGCTCGAATGCCAGCAATGTTCATATCCTCGTCATTGTCCCTCCCACTGTGCTCTCAGGCAATAGATGATTGGCTCTTTCTTTACCTCCTCTTTTTGCCTAATTAGCAAATTTTAGTGAGCTCTCTTTACTACCTGATTGGTCGGGTGTGAGCTAAGTTACAAGCCCCATATTTAAAGGTAGATGCGGTCACCTTCCCAGCTAGGCTTAGGGATTCTTAGTCGGCCTAGGAAATCCAGCTAGTCCTCTCTCAGTCCCCCCTCTCAACAGGAAAACCCAAGTGCTGTTGGGGAGGTTGGCTGACGACCGCTCTAACTGCTTCCTGCTGCATTGGGGCATAGTAGGGCTTGTGCAGTTGAGATTTCCTTGGGAGGGGTGCCTTCAATGTCATTAACGTTATGTTGCCTTGTATTTCTATTTTATATCAAAGTGTAAATATCTTTTTTTGTTGTTGTTGTTTTGAGACGGAGTCTCGCTCTGTCACCCAGGCTGGGGTGCAGTGGCAAGATCTCGGCCCAATGCAACCTCTGCCTCCCAAGTTCAAGCAGTTCTTCTGCCTCAGCCTCCTGAGTAGCTGGGATTACAGGCATACATCACCACACCCAGCTAATTTTTTGTATTTTTAGTAGAGATGGGGTTTCACTTTCTTGGCCAGGCTGGTCTTGAACTCCTGACCTCAAGTGATCCTCCTGCCTCAGCCTCCCAAAGTGCTGGGATTGCAGTCGTGAGCCGCCATGCCCAGCTAAATATCTCTTTGAATGATTCAAATAAGTGATCTGTGTTCATCATCCTCTTCTGCATTCTAGATTTGTTTTTTTTTTCCACAAAGGAGAAAGCACAAAAGTTGTGTTACATATTCTGACCCATACTTCTTCCCCTGTCTTGTCCTCTTACGTTACTTCCCATTGGTTTGATGGACCATTCTTGTGAGATGAGTGCCTGGAGCTTCCATTTTAAAATAGTGGGGACTGTGGACTGAAGAATGAGGTCCCCGTTCCAATGAGGGGTGTCCTAGAGCTCCCTCACCTGCTGTGCTCAGTGTCTCATGCACTTGTTTATTTTTCCTCTTGCAGAGGTGGAATTTAATGTATCGGAAGCATTTGTACCTCTCACCACCCCGAATTCTAATCACTCTTCCCACACTGGAAACGACTCTGACTCGGGGACCCTGGAGAGGAAGCGGCCTGCTAGCATGGCGGTGATGGAAGGAGACTTGATGAAGAAGGAAAGGTATGATTCGACCGTTGACTTCCAAACCAGCAGTAAATATGTTGTTAGACCCATGGTATCTGGTATCGCTCAGTGGACTTGGGATTTGAGAGTGGTCCCCATCCACCTGTGGCTGATGGCATCCAGATAGTTTCTGTAATTCTGCTGTAGGTCATTCCAAGCACCGATCTCCCCATAAAGTCAGTGTGTAAAGCTTGTCAGTTAACCTTTCTTCCACGTGTATTCCAGCTTAACTTGGTGGTGTACTTGGTAAACCCTGCAGTGGGACGGCATCATACACATGTTAAAATTGACCTAAATGTACTTGAGTGGGGGGAAATAGAAAGGAAAGTCAATTTGATAGTGTGGACTTTTGTCCAGAATTGAGTGTGAGAACACCCACCTGGCACAGTGAGTTGAGTGATTTGGTATTTAAGGAGACATATTTCTGGTGTAATAATGGCCCCACAATGGAAGCCAACCACTGAATTTGATGTTCATCGGGGAAAACCTCAGTATTTGCCACTTCTAGAAGAAAAAAAAATGGCAGTATTGAACTTAGTGAGAAGCAGTGTGTCTCTATATACTCTTTTCTATGGGCAATTCATGGGATTTTCAAGGGTAATTAAAACTATTTGTGATTTGTACCTTTAGATGCCAACCTGTCCCGTGTGTGATGAAATGCCACTGTAGTCACTAGGAATGCTAACAGTTAAGAGGCCTGTTGGAAGTAATATGTTTGTCTTGGTATATGAAACAATATTACTAGAAATAGTTTTACATTAAAACAAAATAACAAACTCTTATTTTAATTGCTTAATCTTATAGTGAGGTGTGCTGTTTATTTGTTTCTTGTTCTTTGTTTTGCGCTTTTTACCCCTAGCAAAGGAGAATGCATTATTCTGTCCGTATTCTGTCCGTCCAAAATCCACATTTATTCTGTGTGACATATTACCTCTCTGAACCCTCGTGCATACATTCATTAGTATTTCCTGATGACAAACTCTACCCGTAACAAAATTAGCCTTCATATATTTTAAGTTACAGAAAACAGTGCATGAGTCTAGTTAGCACATGGCAGACAATTCTCAGTTACCTGCCTTGTGTATTCTCCCTGCCAGCTGAGCCAGTAAGCACAAGCTCAGGAAGCCAGGCATCTTTTTACTCTTTGAACTGAAAGAAAAAGTTGCTAAGTTCATAGATCAATGGGCTTAAGTGAAAAGTCAGCCTTCCTTCCACCCTATCCTCCAGCCACATCCAGCCACCATTCCCTTCCTCAAAGCAACAGTTTTTTCCAGTCTTTTTATTTTTTGTTTTTTTGAGACAGGGTTATGTGCCCAGGCTGGAGTGCAGTGGTATGATCATGGCTTACAGCAGCCTTGACCTCCTGGGCTTAAGCAGCTCTCCCACCTCAGCCACTTGACAGGCACGCACCACCTCACCCAGCTAATTTTCTAAAAAAAGTTTTTTGTAGAGACAGGGCCTCACAATGTTTCCCAGACTGGTCTTGAATTTCCAAGCTAAAGCAATCCTCCCGCCTTGTCCTCCCAAAGTGCTAGGATTACAGGTGTGAGCCCCCGCGCCCAGCTTTTCCAGCCTTGTGTGTCTTTCAGATATAGTATTTGCATATGCACATAGAGTTGTTTCTACATCTCATCTCAGTTAAGAGGCAGTGTGGTGTGATAACCTTATACTACCATTGGTAGGCCTTCTGGGCTTGACTTCTGTTTCATTCCCCAAAAACAGATTTGAGATGGGAACTAGGAAGTATGGAAATGGGCCGGACGTGGTGACTTATGCCTGTAATCCCAGCACTTTGAGAGACCAAGGCAGGAGGATTACTTGAGGCCAGGAGTTTGAGAGCCTGGGCAATGTAGTGAGACCCCATCTCTAAAAAAAAAAAAAAAAAAATTTTTTTTTTTTTTTGGCTGGGTGCAGTGGCTCACGCCTGTAATCCCAGCACTTTGGGAGGCCGAGGCGGGCAGATCACAAGGTGAGGAGATCGAGACCATGCTGGCTAATACGGTGAAACCCCATCTCTACTAAAAAATACAAAAAATTAGCCAGGCGTGGTGGTGGGCACCTGTAGTCCCAGCTACTCGGGAGACTGAGGCGGGAGAACGGCATGAACCCAGGAGGCGGAGCTTGCAGTGAGCCGAGATCGCGCCACTGCACTCCAACCTGGGTGACAGAGCAAGACTCCGTTTCAAAAAAAAAAAAAATTTTTTTTATATCCCAGTATGGTGATGTGTGCCAGTAGTCCAAGCTGCCTCCAGAGGCTGAGGCTGGAGGATGGTTTGAGCCCAGGAGTCTGACACTGTAGTGAGCTATGATTGCTCCACTGGAGTGCCAAGCACTCCAGCCTGGGTGGTGGAGTGAGACCTCGTGTCTAAAGGGGGGAAAATAAAAGCAGAGGAAGTATGGGGATAAACACAGTAACATGGTGTCATTCAAGATGAGGCCTGCCTGTTTGCTTTTAGCTGCTCACACCCAAATTGATCAAAGACTTTGAACAGTACCAGGGTCATTGGCTTTGCTCAGGCTCAAAGCCAAGTGGAGTTGCTTGCCTTGGTATCAGGGGTGGCCATTAGTCTGGTTCTTGCCGCTTCATGCATGCTGGGCAACTTGGGTGGCTGTTCACATGTGTGGTTTTAACACATGTGGACCAATGGGCTTCTGTCTCAGTAGTCTGCTCGCATGGTGTGTTGACTGTTTCTTCTCTCTGTGTAGCTTTGGTGTGAAGCTTATGGACTTCCAGGCCCACCGGCGGGGTGGCACTCTAAATAGAAAGCACATATCCCCTGCTTTCCAGCCGCCACTCCCGCCCACAGATGGCAGCACCGTGGCGCCCGCTGGCCCAGAGCCCCCTCCCCAGAGCTCTAGGGCTGAAAGCAGCTCTGGGGGTGGGACTGTCCCCTCCTCTGCGGGCATACTGGAGCAGGGGCCGAGCCCAGGTGACGGCAGGTAAGGAGGCCGACTTCTGCTGGCAGTGGAGGCTGGACGCCCCAACCTACTTGCAGGTGGTGGCCTTTGGGCACGGCATCCACGCCCCAAAGAACTGCTCCAGCATGGAGTGAACAGATTTGCTTTCACTCCTCTGGTTGGCAAAAGACTGAAAAAAAGACTATGAATGGCTCGCTTCTTTTTATGTTTTCCAAAGAAAGCAACATTGGTTTGCATTCTTTGCCACACTGCTTTGGTGCTGGAAACCGGAAGGCAGTGGGTGTCTCCTAGTGTGTTAAGCCTCTGTCACCTGTTTGATGTACACTCTCAGCATTTATGTACTATCTGTTCGTTGTCATCCAGTGTGCTAACCAGGAAGCATTTGAATGTGGCAAGTTAGTTAAATTTTAGTATTCCTGGTATTTATTCACTCATTCATTGATTGATTCAGTCAGACAGATTGACCGAGTCACTGATAGGTGCTGGGCACACGAGGTGACTGAGACTTCACTCCACACCCCCAGATTTCAGTCTTGTAGGGCAGTTGATCCATGAGTCCAAGGTGGAAAATAAGATGGTAGCTTTTCTTTTTTCTTTTCTTTTTTTTTCCGAGACTGCGTCTTGCTCTGTTGCCCAGGCTGGAGTGCAGTGGCATGATCGTAGCTCACTGCACCCTCCGCCTCCTAGGCCCAAGCAATCCTCCTACCTAAGCCTGCCAAGTAGCTGGGATTACAGGCGCTTGTCACCATGCCCAGCTAATTTTTTTTATTTTTTTGTAAAGATAGGGTAAACATAGATGCCCTAGGTTGCCCAGGCTGATCTCGAACTCCTGGCCTCAAGTGATCTTCCTGCCTCAGCCTTCGAAAATAGTGGAATTACAGGCATGAGCCACCATGCCTGCCTGGTAGATTTTCTTAAAAGTCTCTTTTAGTTGCTTAACCTTTGGATTAGCCACCTGGAGTGGGCTGCAAATGGATAGCAGCTTTTAAGAAAAGGCACCTTGAACCTGAGTTTTGTTTTTGTTTTTGTTTTTGTTTTTGAGACAGAGTCCCACTCTGTCGCCTGGGCTGGAGTGCAACCAGATCTTGGGTCACTGCAGCCTCCCCTCCTGGGTTCAAGTGATTCTCTTGCCTCAGCCTCCCAAGTAGCTGGGATTACAGGCACACACCACCATGCCCGGCTAATTTTTTTGTATTTTTAGTAAAGACGGGGTTTCACCATGTTGGTCAGGCTGGTCTCAAACTCCTGACCTCAGGTGATCCACCTGCCTCGGCCTCCCAAAATGCTGGGATTACAGGTGTGAGCCACTGCATCCGGCCAGAACTTGAGATTTTTATTTAATTGACATTAATTCAGTTCTCCACACTGATCCAGGCAGATAACCACCAGAGGCTACTTCAGGTGGCATCCCTTGTGGTTTGGAACTGACCGCTGCTTAGCTCTGCACACGTGTGCCAAAATTTTTGTTGTCATGTGTTCTGCATTGGCCATCCACAACACACCGAATGATCACATATGAAGTAAAATAAATGTGCAGAGAACAAGGACAGGTCGTTTATCCACACATTTATTTCCCACGCAGAGTGATGAATTTGCCTGGGAAGAACTCCTTTCTCATCATCCTTGGGATGAGCAAGGGAGAGCCTCGTTGTGTGTGAAGCTGCTCATGAGATAGGAATCTTGTTTCACCATTTAAACTGAATGCTGAATGCTTTGTGCATTCCTAAATTCCATTTTCCTCACCTTGGGAAAGTTTACTTTGGCATTAAAAAAAGTTAAGACTTCAGACTTCATAGGGCTTCCCATGCATGTCATAGGCTCCACGTTAGCTTGTCAATAATTGTACCCCATGTGTATACTTGTTTTGGTTTAAATTGTTTTGTTTGAAGGGAAAAAGTCTAAGCAAATTCACTTATTTTCTTTTTCTTGTTTTTGTTTTTTATTTTTTTTTATTTATTTTTTTGAGACGAAGTCTCACTCTGTTGCCCAGGCTGGAAAGCAGTGGTGCAGTCTCGGCTCACTGCAACCTCCGCCTCCTGGGTTCAAATGATTCTCCTGCCTCAGCCTCCAGAGTAGCTGGAATTACAGGCACGCACCACAATGCCCGGCTAATTTTTGTGTTTTCAGTAGAGATGGGGTTTCACCATGTTTGCCAGGCTGGTCGCAATCTCCTGACCTCAAGTGATCCACCCGCCTTGGCCTCCCAAAGTGCTGGGATTACAGGCGTGAGCTACTGCCCCGGCCTGTTTTTTGTTTTGTTTTATTTTTCAGACAGGGTCTTGCTCTGTCACCCACACTGGAGGGCAGTGGCGTGATCATGGCTCACCACAGCCTTTTAATCTCCCAGGCTCAAGCAACGTTCCCACCTCAGCCTCCCAGCTGGGACTATACTTGTGCACCCCCATGCCCTGCTAATTTTTAAAATTTTTTGTCGTAACAAGGTCTCACTGTGTTGCCCAGGCTGGTCTTGAATCCTGGTCTCAAGCAATCCTCTGTCCTCCGCCTGCCAAAGTGCTGGGATTATAGGCATGAGCCACCACGCCCAGCCAGTTTACATATTTTCATTTCCTTGTGACATTCAATTTGTTTAATCAAGGCTAAATGTATTGTTTAAGACCATAATTAGTCTTAACGCAGAAGGACAAATGGAATGTCAGTCATTTTGCTTTTTTTTTTTTTGAGACAGGATCTCGCTCTGTCCCCTAGGCTGGAGTGCAGTGGCATGATCTTGACTCACGGCAACCTCCACCTCCTGGGTTCAAGTGATTCTCCCACCTCAGCCTCTAGAGTAGCTGGGACTACAGGCGTGAGCCACCACACCTGGCTAATATTTGCATTTTTAGTAGAGACGGGGTTTCACCATGTTGGCCAGGCTGGTCTCGAACTCCTGACCTCAAGTGATCCACCGGCCTCAGCCTCCCAAAGTGCTGGCATTATAGGCATGAGTCACTGTGCCCGGCCTGCTCTTTATTTTTTTATACTGTATTCTGTAGGTATTTTAATGTACGTTACACTAATGTTATTCACTCTTGACAAAATGGAGCTTTAATGTTTGGTATAAAAAGTTCTGGGCCAGGAAACAGGAAGCCTGAGTTCTGATCTCTATCCTGCTGCTACCAACTCTGGACTTCGAGTAGTCATTTAGACTCTGAGTTCTCCTTCAGTTCAAGTTATTGATAATAATAAGCCCTTTATCATTTAGAGTCTTATTTTACCGTGGCTTTTGCTTAATTTTGTATAGTATACATGTCAACATCTAAAAGCCCTTTCATGATATTAATAGTACTGCCCAATTTAAGTGCAAACACAGTAGAGCTGAAAACTCCGCATTGCTTGCTTTGAAATGATCTCTCTCATGATACTGGAGTGGCAGAGTCGTTGGAGTCCAGTCTGATGCAATGAATCTCATAAAATAAATAGTCCTATAGTCCCAGCTACTCAGGATGCTGAGGCAGGAGGATTGCTTGAGTCTGGAAATTTGAGACCAACCTGGGCAACATAGCAAGATCCCATCTCTTTAAAAAAAAAGACACCAAGTATACATTAGCTCTTTATATGGCACCAAGTGCAACACTAACTTTATAAGCCCAGTGCGAGCTAGTTAGAATTTCAGATCCTTTTCCTTCCTGCCGAAGTGAAAACTCTGCTTGGAATCTTATGTTTTGTGTGCAGTATGTTCAGATTTTCTAGCTGGGATTGTCTGACGTCTAACTGGGCTTTTACTCTTCTTAGTCCTTCCAAACCCAAGGATCCTGCATCTGCAGCTGCGCCAGCACCAGGGAGAAACAACAGTCAGATAGCCTCTGGCCAAAACCAGGCCCAGGCAGCTGCCGGCTCCCACCAGCTCTCCCTGGGCCCACCTCACAGTGCTGCGGGGCCCAGCCCGCATACTCTGCGCCGAGGTAAGCAGCCACCCTCCTCCTTGCCCTCAGGGAAGGTTGTGCAGACCTCTGTAAGTTAGTGCGAGGATTCAGATGGTGAGGCTTGCGGCCAGATCTTTTCTATGTCTGTTGTAAAATGGCAAGCAGAAAATTCAGTCATTCAAGAGAGAAGTCATTAAAGAAAAAGGAAAAAATCGAGAACAGAAAAACAGACATTTAGCTTTTCCTTAGGCATGACAAAGCTTAACAAACAAAAAGTCAGTTCTGCAGAAATGCTCCCAGTTTCCTTGGTGTCCCAAGCCCTCACTCTGTTTGGAGACTACCACGGCCTCTGTACTTCTCAGGTTTGTGGGTCTGGGAGCCACTGTTGCCTCAGAATTGGGGTGAGAGCTTTCTAGGTCCTGATGAACGGAATGTGAACTGCTCCCACCTGTCTCCCCTGCAGTCCTCCAACCAGCAGCCAGGGGAGTTGCTTTAAAACTCCAAGCAGATCATGTCACCTGTTGATTAAACTCTTCAGTGGCTTCCATGCAAACTTCTCACCCTGGATTCTCTGCACTCTGGTGGGGCCTACCTCTGAGCCCAGAGCTTATGCTCCCCCCTCTCAACACACTCTGCTCTTGGTTCCTAGAATGAAGTAAGCCCATCCCCTCCTTAGGGCTTCCAGAACATTCTGTCCCATATCTTCACATGGTTTCTTCTTAACATTCAGGTCTCACCTCAAAAATCACTTCTTCCGGCTGGGTATGGTGGCTCACACCTATAATCCCAGCACTTTGGGAGGCTGAGGCAGGAAGATCTCTTGAGGCCAGGAGTTGGAGACCAATCTGGTCAATATAGTGAGAGCCCACCTCTACAAAAAATTTTTTTTAAATTATCTGGGTGTGGTGACACACACCTATAGTCCCAGCTACTCAGGAGGCTGAGGCAGGAGGATCTCTTGAGCCCAGGAGGTCGAGCCTGCAGTGAGCTATGATTGCACCACCACACTCCAGCCTGGACAACAGAGTGAGACCCCATCTCTAAAATAAAAAAGAGAGGCCAGGTGCAGTGGCTTACGCCAGTAATCCCAGCACTTTGGGAGGCCAGGGTGGGCGGATCGCTTGAGCCAGGAGTTCAAGACCAGCCTGACCAACATGTTGAAACCCCATCTCTACTAAAAATACAAAAATTAGCCCGGTGTGGTGCTGCACGCCTGTGGTCCCAGCTACTCAAGAGGCTGAGGCAGGAGAATCACTTGAACCTGGGAGGCAGAGGTTGCAGTGAGCCAAGATTGTGCCACTGTACCCCAGCCTGGCCAACAGAGCAAGACTCCGTCTCAAAAAAAAAAGGATTAAATTCACTGTGTCTGTCTGTGAAAGCATGGTCTTTATGAAGCACGACACAAATGTAGGTGGAATTTCTACAAATTATAGGCAGGGAGGCAGATTCGGGTCCACTTCTTGGTTGCAGACCCCCCACTTTATCCTTCTTAAGGCTGCCTCTCTGGGCCACCGTCATCTTATCAGGAGCTTAGCTGATCCTTGAGGGAGGTTAGTCTTCTGTACCTAGATTCCAGGTGTGACTCTGGTTTTGGGTTAAGAAGACTCTTTTCCTCGTAGCCACATTTGGAGTCTTTCCTGCTTCCCGAAATCACAGCTCCCAGGCTTCTTCGCAGGACGGGTTTGATTCTTTTTGCCTTACCCACCCCCTGCGCCTCTGAGGTGGTCTCAGACAAGGCCTCCCTTTCTCCCAGCCCCCTCCCCCGGACACTCTGCTCCCATGCTCCCGCTCCTCATCCTCTTCACACCCTTAAATGTCAGGAATGAACTTTTATTCAGTGTGAATTTACAATTATTATTGCTTAGAACAGAAAACTAGACTTTTTTTTTAAATGCTGATGGCATTCTGGAGTACAGCTAATGTAAGCTGGTTGGTGGTTTCTGAGTTCCAGGGTTGAAAGTTCCAGACCAGGCCGGGCACGGTGGCTCAAGCCTGTGATTCCAGCACTTTGGGAGGCCGAAACGGGCGGATCACGAGGTCAGGAGATCAAGGCCATCCTGGCTAACATGGTGAAACCCCATCTCTACTAAAAAAATACAAAAAGCTAGCCGGGCGAGGTGGCGGGTGCCTGTAGTCCCAGCTACTCTGGAGGCTGAGACAGGAGAATGGCATAAACCCGGGAGGTGGAGCTTGCAGTGGGCTGAGGTCCAGCCACTGCACTCCAGCCTGGGCGACAGAGCGAGACTCCATCTCAAAAGAAAAAAAAAAAAAAAAAATTCCAGACTAGTGTAGCAGAGTACACTTTATTTTTTCTTTCTTTTTCTTTCCTTTCTTATGTTTTTTAGAGGCAGGGTCTTGTTCTCTCACCCATGCTGGAATGCAGTGGCGTGATAATAGCTCACTGCATCCTTCAGCCACTGGACCCAAGTGATCCTCCCACTTTGGCCTCTCAAAGTGCTGGTACTACAGGCACATGCCACCATGCCTGGCTGCTTTGTTTATTTGTTTGTGGAGTCAGGATCTCACTATGTTGCCCAGGCTGGTCTTGAGTGATCTTCCTGCCTCAGCCAGTCAGAGTGCTGGGATTGCAGGCATGAGCCACCGAGACTTTACCCTTTTTAATCCTGAATTCTGGGACCTGTAAACAGGCAGCCGAGGAATAGAGGAAGGAGGATGAGGAAAAAGCATTCAGGGAGTCCACATGTCATGGGCAGGAGTCTCTGTTCTGCCCCTTACTAGCTGTGTGGCCTATTACCAAACACTGGCCCTCTTCAAGCCTCAGTTTTCTTCTCTGTGAAAATGGCGATAACAGAGCTTGCCCTACCATGAGCTTATGAGACTTGAATGAGATAATTTATATAAATTATAATGTGCATAATTTATGTAAAAGGCCTTACTTGGTACTAGTGATATGTGAACAGTGATACATGTTCATTTCTTTCCTTCATTTCCTTCTCTTTTTTCTTGGGGAACCAGTAGGATCTCAGCAGAGTTTGAAAAAGGCTGAAGTCTCTCCTTTCCCCCTACCCCTCCCAGCCCAAAACCAGAGCCCCAGATCTGTCGTTTTCCCTCCTGCCCTCCTCAGTACCAGGTTCCCTCCCTGATCTCAGCTGGTATAGGGAGGAGAGTGATGTGATTCAGCTCTCTTTAGAGAAATAATTCTAAGGCAACTCTTCCGCATTTATTCATGCTTTTGTCCAGGACATTATCTGTTAACTCACATGGTTCTGGAATTGGTAGAAGTTCTGTTATTCGGACCAGTCAAACCAATCAAGCTCTCGAGGAGAAGGTGGCGTGGGGTCAGGGGTCATGTTACGTCGGGTGAACCAGTCCTGCTTGGTGGTGCCTCCTGGCTGTTCTTGTCTCTCTCTCTGTCTTCCCATGGGGACCTAACGAGGAGGCTGCTAAGCGGGCTGAGGGCAGCACTTCCGTGTTATTCGGGTGGCCTCTGTTAACAGTTTTCTTCTTGTTGAATTTTCAAAATGATAGACCTTTAAAGCCCTTTCAAACGTACAGAATGTACTTAATTTTTAAAATAAACTTGTTAGTTTGGAGTAATTTTGAATAGAAAAGTTGCAAAGATAATGCTGAGAGTTCCTGTATGCCCCTTACTCAGTTTCCCCTGTTGTTAATGTGTTACATGACCATGGTACCTTTACCCCAGCTCAGAAATCAACATTGGGCCAGTCCCCCCACCCCACCCCTGCTTTTTTTTTTTTCTTTTAAATGGTCTCGCTCTGTTGCCCAGGCTGGAGTTCAGTGGTGTGATTACAGCTCACTGCAGCCTTGGACTTCCCGGGCTCACGTGATCCTCCCACCTCAGCCTCATGAGTAGCTGGGATTACAGGCGAACACCACCACTCCCAACTAATTTTCTTATTTTTTGTAGAGATGGAGTTTTGCCATGTTGCCCAGGCTGGCCTTGAACTCCTGCGCTAAAGTGATCTGCCTGCTTTGGCCTCCCAAAGTGCTGAGATTACAGGCGTGAGCCACTGCACCTCGCGCTTCATTACCATTAACTAGACTCCACATTTTATTCAGATTTCCCTAGTTTTTCCACTCATGTCCATTTTCTGTCCCAGGATCTCATCCAGGAGCCCACATTGCATGTAGTCATCGTATCTTCTTAGTCTCTTTCGGTCTGTGACACGTTCTCCGTCTTTCTGTGCTTTTCTATGGCCTTGACGGTTTTGGAGAGTACTGGTCAGGCCTTTTGAAGAAAGGCCCTCAATTTGTGTTTGTCAGATGTTCTTCTGATGGTTAGACTCGGGTTATGGGTTTTGGGGAGGAAGACACAGTGTGGTGCCTCCCGACCACCTCTCATCAGAGGCACGTGGTGCTGTGGTTTATTACTGGCGGGGTTAAATTTGGGCTCCTGGCCAGGGTGGTGGTGGTTGCTGCCTCACTGTTCCTACTGAAAGGTATTTTTTCTCTCTTTGTGCAGCTGTTAAGAAACCCGCTCCAGCACCCCCGAAACCAGGCAACCCACCTCCTGGCCACCCCGGGAGCCAGAGTTCTTCAGGAACATCTCAGCATCCACCCAGTCTGTCACCAAAGCCACCCACCCGAAGCCCCTCTCCTCCCACTCAGCACACGGGCCAGCCTCCAGGCCAGCCCTCCGCCCCCTCCCAGCTCTCAGCACCCCGGAGGTACTCCAGCAGCCTGTCTCCAATCCAAGCTCCCAATCACCCGCCACCACAGCCCCCTACGCAGGCCACGCCGCTGATGCACACCAAGCCCAATAGCCAGGGCCCTCCCAACCCCATGGCATTGCCCAGTGAGCATGGACTTGAGCAGCCATCTCACACCCCTCCCCAAACTCCAACGCCCCCCAGTACTCCGCCCCTAGGAAAACAGAACCCCAGCCTGCCAGCTCCTCAGACCCTGGCAGGGGGTAACCTTGAGACTGCACAGCCACATGCTGGAACCTTACCGAGACCGAGACCAGTACCAAAGCCAAGGAACCGGCCCAGCGTGCCCCCACCCCCCCATCCTCCTGGTGTCCACTCAGCTGGGGACAGCAGCCTCACCAACGCAGCACCGACAGCTTCCAAGATAGTAACGGGTAAGTAGGACATCAATGCCCATATTTCCCTGTCTGCTCTACATTGCTTTTGTACTACTACATTTTATTTAAGCTTTGATTTATACCAGGCATCAGCAAACTGCACCTGCAAGCCAAACCTGTCCTGCAGCCAGTTTTTGTCATTAAAGTTTTATTGGAACACAGCTACAGCCATTCATTAACATATTGTCTGTGCCTGCATTGGTGCTAAAACAGCGGAGTTGGGTCGTCATGACCAGAGATCATATGGCCCACAAAGTTGGAAATATTTACTACCTGGTCCTTTAAGTTTGCCAACCCCTGACTTACAGTTGCTTGTGTGTTTAAGACCTATGTATGTTTACATTTTTCTAAACATAATGACTTTTAATCCAGGTGGAAGGTATTTTACAACACGAGCATGAACTCTCTTAGTGAATTCCTCATTAAAATGCTTAAACAGTACTTCTAAGTACTTCTAAGAGTGAAAATGTTCATATTAAGTACAGAATTTCAGGTATAACTTTAAAAAACATGATTTATGCCAAATTGAATGCTCCGAAAGGGAGATCTCAGGGTACAGTCATATCAGAGTGCTGGCCTCTAATGGCTTGGGAGGGAAGAGTGAAGAGTTTCCTATAGACCCAGTGGGAACCTGTTTTGAAGTGGTGGTGATTGTACAGGTTTTAGTGGACTACCTAATGGCATATTTTTAATAGTCTAGAACATGACCATTGTATTTAAGATTTCAAAAATATATCCATCCCAAATGCTCTAATTTATTATTTTATTTAAGGATGGATATGGGGTTTTCTACTGTGTTTTAAAAAATGGTAATTAGGGGCCTCAAATAATTTCTTACAGCAGCCCAGTTTAAATTGTTCTAAGTGGAGGCACTTTTGGAAAAGAAGCTGAAGTATACCTTTGGGCTTTCCAACCATATTGAGTGACTTTGCAGCTTAAAATGTGCCGAAGGTTTCCATTAATCCAAAGGGTGACGGTTAACTGATTCTAACAATATCTTTTAATAACTTTTTTCAGGAATTTAATACATAATTTGCACATGTTATAAATGGTTAATAACTTTTTTTCTGATGACATCAGAGCTTTTATTTTGAAAACAACACAGCCATGGGGTTTGTTTGTTTGTTTCCCAATAGATGCCCTTCCTCGTGCCCTCACAGGTGGGGAAGGTGTCCAGGACTAAGGTCTGTAACGGCCCGAGCAGCTTGCCCCACAGCTCCACACGCTCCTGCGTAGCCATGTTTTGCATATGTGCTTTTGACTGTGTGCTCAGGAGCAACCTTTAGACCCTGTGCCCTGACAGCCAATGGGCCATCCCTTCTGTAGCATATAGACTTTTCTTTATTTTTATCAGAAGCACTTTGAGCTGCAGTGCTTCAAATTCAAGGAGTAGATGTCAGTAGATCAAGAGCCTGATTTTAAGCTGCTCTTGAAGAGTATCTTCTTTCTTAGGGGCCAGGCACAGTGGCTGGTGCCTGTAGTCCCAGTACTTTGAGTGGCTGAGGTAGGAGGATTGCTTGAGCCCAGGAGTTCGAGACTGCAGTGGTAGTGATTGTGTCACTGCTGGCTGCATTCCAGTCTGCATGACAGAGTGAGACCCTGTCTCTTTTAAAAAAAAAAAAAGGAATATCTTTGGTCTTTTTGGTGAGCCTCTTACCAGCAGTCTACTCTTCCCAGTGTGACTTACCTGTCACTGATGGGCTCACCGGCATCCAACCAAAGAGGACCCGGGCGCCGTCAGCACGGGAGGAAATTGTGTCCTTTGTGTCTTGAGCTTTAATTTTAAATTTTTGTATCTTAAGTGCAAGTTAACTGCATGAAGCTTCTTAATTTGATATTTTAAATTCTTCTCAAGGCCAAAAAATTAAAAAAATCTTCCCCCAAATACCCTACACAGAATTCTTTTAAATTCCTTTGCATTCTAGCATGCTTCCATTTTGCTTTCTTAAACCATATGAACTTTTTAAAAGGCACTGTGAGCTCATCTAAGTCTGCTGCTGGGTCTACATGTGGACAGCATAAGGCCCTCATTATGTGTACAGCTGCTTTAATCAGCTGACCTGAGCCTTACGCCTACTGTGGGGCCCTTAGCCGGAGTGCTCACAGCTTAGGTCTGAGTAAGACTTTCTGTAGGAACCAGAAGTGGAAAACCAGAGCATAGCCTTCAAAACAGGGAGGAGGCCCAGGCACGATTCCACAATTTCATGCTTGTGATACACCAAAATGTTATTCTCAGATATTTCCTTCTTTTTAAATGCGAGATTCCAAACCAGAATTATGCCTATTCTTTAATACCATTGTTACCTGGGGTATATTTATTCCAGAAGTTTACTTTATTGATCTGCTACAACACTGTAATGTACTGCTGTAATTATTAGATAAGTGAACTTTTACATTAAAAGTATGTTTCCCTAAGATATTAGCTATTTAAAAACCAATCTATGCTATGAGTTCTCCTAACTCAAGAAATTCCAGGTCACCACAGTTATCTTTATATTACAGAATTAACCTGTACTATCTTAAAATCCCCTGGCCTGCCATTGAAAGTGCACAGAAGGCCAACATTTAGAATTTTTGAATCTGCTAGTGTTGATCATACTGCTATTAACCATTCTTGGATATAGCCATTAGGTTTTTTCAAGGAGGAAGAAAATATAACTTCTTGGACAGGATGGTCCTTTATTGTGACATAATGTTTTCACTTAGAAAACTTTAGATGGACAAATTCCTGAAAACAGGTTATTCCTTTAGAATTGGATTAAGTTAGAGTTTTAAAGAGTTGGGTTAAGGCTCATGGGATTAATATAAATTCTTGGGGGAGATTATTGTTGCCAAGCAGGTTTGGCAGCCAACTTCTCACAGCTCAGCACCAGCACTGGAGGATGCCGGGATTCTGGCGTCGTTTTGAGTCTCCTGTTAATTGTGACTCTAGAGAGCAGTAAGAGTTTTAATTCCCATGGAAAAGAGTTTACATCTTGCTACTTTTGAAATAATAGATTTTAGCAAAGAGTATTCTAATTTAAACGTTTTATTAAATAATTTAGATGTATGACCTGCCATATTCAGTAAGAACTGAGATTGGAATATTTAATGGTAAGGAAAAGGCACCTGATTGGCCATTGCATTTTTGCTACTTGATGATCATATTTGTGCACTCACGCCTGTTACTAACCGGCCACCCTAACCCTGCCTGCTTGCGTCCCTACTAATAGTGCATGCACTGAAGGCCTGGCTTTGTTGATGCTTGCTGCAATCATTCGGAATACTAAGTGTGTGCCCAGATGTGGAATAGGTGGTCGGTCACAGGGCTGGCCTTGTTACTTCTTTAATTTCCGTTCTTTTCCATATTAGGCAAACGAGGTATAGTAGAAAGAATACACATCATGGAGTCGGACCTGATTGAATTAGAATTTTAGCTCTTGGTATAACATAGACCAGGCACAACCTGGCTATCTGTAAAGTGGTGACATCTGTCTAAAGTGTTGAAGATCAAATAAGAGAAAGTCCAAGGTTATTCCGATAGCCAGTTATAGTTCTTAATATACAGTGGATCTAAATGAAGGCTAGCTATTTATCTTCTTTTTTTTTTTGAGATGGAGTCTCGCTCTGTCGCCCAGGCTGGGGTGCAATGGCGCGATCTCGGCTCAAGCTCCGCCTCCCAGGTTAAAGCGCTTCTCCTGCCTCAGTCTCCTGAGTACCTGGGATTATAGGCTCCTGCCACCACATCTGGCTATTTTATTATTTTTAGTAGAGATGGGGCTTTACCATGTTGGCCAGGCTGGTCTCGAACTCCTGACCTTAGGTGATCGGCTACCTCAACCTCCCAAAGTGCTGGGATTGTAGGCATGAGCCACTGTGCCTGGCCTGCTATTTATCATTTTTATCTAGAAGAAAATAGTTTTAATCAGATTTCTATGTTAGATTCACATGTCAGGGTTTTAAAAACTCACCCGGATCCGGCCTTCTAGGACCCAAACAGAGGAGACTGGGGGTGGGACCCAGGTATCCATATTTTGATTCTGATGCATCACTTTTATTTTTGGATCTCAGTTCTTTCATGGGTTAAAAAGACAATGCTCTGCAGAAGGAGTTAACAAGTACATTCGTATAATATAGTGAGCCTGAGACTGTGAGGCGTTAGTCCACTGTACCACAGATAGAGCAAATCACTCACATAGTAGCCATAAGCCTAGACACTTTGCTGGCTAATTTCATAGTGTTTGCTTTTTAAACTCTCACCCTTCTTATGTCATAGAAGTAATGCCTTTTTAAAAATAAGCATGAGCCGGGGCGTAGGGGCTCACATCTGTAATCCCATCAGTTTGGGAGGAGGTGGGTGGATCACTTGAAGTCAGGAGTTCAAGACCAGCCTGGCCGACATGGAGAAACCCTGTCTCTACTAAAAATACAAAAAGTTAGCCAGGCGTTGTGGTGGGTGCCTGTAATCCCAGCTACTTGGGAGGCCAAGGCAGGAGAACTGCTTGAACCCGGGAGGTGGAGGTCGCAGTGAGCTGAGATCACACCACTGCACTCCAGCCTGGGTGACAGAGTGAGACTCTGTCTCAGATAAATAAAAATAAGCATGGATATTAAAACTCTTGAGAAATGAAAATAATAAGAAATCAACTATAGCTGTACAGTTGAAAAAGTCTGCCATTGATATTCTACTTCTTTTTATTATTATTATTATTTTTATATAGAGCCTCCCTCTGTTCCCTGGGCTGGAGTGCAGTGGTGCAATCTCGTCTCACTGCAAGCTCCGCCTCCTGGATTCACACCATTCTCCTGCCTCAGCCTCCCGAGTAGCTGGGACTACTGGCACCCGCCACCACACCCAGCTAATGTTTTGTATTTTTAGTAGAGACAGGGTTTCACCATGTTAGCCAAGATGGTCTCCATCTGCTGACCTCATGATCCACCCACCTCATCCTCCCAAAGTGCTGGGATTACAGGTGTGAGCCAACACGCCTGCCCCTTTTTTTCTTTTAGTTTTTCTAAAAAGGAGGTACATGAGCGTAATTATTTGACATAGACAGGTTTGAATCCTTTTATTTTACTTTACATCATATGCTTGTTCTCATATGATAATGTAATTTTTAGAACCATGGTTTTTTTGTTTGTTTTTTGTTTCAAGATGGAGTCTTGCTCTGTCGCCCAGGCTGGAGAGCAGTGGCTCGAACTCGGCTCGCTGCAAGCTCCGCCTCCCGGGTACACGCCAGTCTCCTGCCTCAGCCTCCCGAGTAACTGGGACTACAGGCGCCCGCCACAACGCCCGGCTAATTTTTGTATTTTTAATAGAGACAGGGTTTCACCATGTTAGCCAGGATGGTCTCGATCTCTTGACCTCGTGATCTGCCCACCTCAGCCTTCCAAAGTGCTGGGATTACAGGCGTGAGCCACTGCGCCCGGCCTAGAACCGTGTTTTTCAGTGACTACATAATGTTTCATCAACCAGATGTATTATTACTCTTAGTTGGATATTTAAGTGGCCTCTATTTCTACTTGCAGTTTATTTTTAATAAGTAGATAATCAGAATTGTGTCAAGATAACATCCAGTGAGACTTGAACAGAATTACTCCTGAATAGTTGACTCAAAGTCACTCGTAGCCCTGGAAAACTGACGAGAAGTCATCAGCTCCTGATAAAATTACACAATTCTACTTAGACTAAGGAGGATCAAAGCCAGATTGGTTGGACTGTCATTCTTCTGTTTATTTATTTTATGTATTTTTCGAGACAGTCTTGCTCTGTCGCCTACTCTGGAGTGCAGTGGTGCAATCTTGGCACACTGCAACCCCTGCCTCTCTGGTTTAAGCAATTCTCTTGCCTCAGCCTCCCAAATAGCTGGGATTATAGGTACGTGTGGCAACACCTGGCTGATTTTTGTATTTTTAGTAGAGACGGGGTTTCACCATATTGGCCAGGCTGGTCTCGACTCATGGCCTCAAGTGATCCATTCACTTCTGCCTCCCAAGGTGCTGGGATTACAGGCATGAGCCACTGCGCCTGGCTCCATCATTCTTAATCACCCTAACATTTTCCCTCTTTCCCAAAAGAGTTGTGTATATCCTTGGGTGTGGATCCTGAAAGTGAAGACGTTATCTGAGGAAATAATGGTTTGGGTCTTAAACACTCTGGTTGGAGCTAAGTTTATATGACAGGTATTATATTGTAAAAAGGAGAAAAAGGTTATTTTAGAAAGACACCTGTTAGAACCTGCTTTTGTTTGTTTGTTTGTTTGTTTGTTTGTTTAGTCTTACCCTGTCGCTCAGACTGGAATGCAGTGATACGATCTCAGCTCACTGCAACCTCCACCTCCCAGGTTCAAGCGATTCTCCTGCCTCAGCCTCCCGAGTAGCTCAGCCTCCAAAGTCCTGGGATTACAGGCATGAGCCACCACACCCAGCCAGAACCTGCTTTTTAAAAGCACCCTAAACCTCTTTGGTTGTGAATTTATTTATTCTCTGCCTTCCAAGGGCCGGTCTTTCAGGATATTGCTTGGAACTAAGTTCATACAGTAGGTATTTTATTTAAAAACAAAAACAAAACAGAAAAGAGATCTCCAATAAAAGGTTTCTTTTTCTGTTTGGTTATTTGCTTTTTTTTTTATTTTGAAATATAATACTTGTTATATAAACTTAGCTCCAAGCAGTATGCTCAAAGACCAGCCCTTCTTGGAATGCAAATAATATATAAATTCATAGCCAGAGAAGTTTAGAGGTGTTAAAAGAAAACCAGGTTCTTACAGGTGTCTTTCTCAAATAACCTTTATCTCTTTTTTACAACAATCAACCAGAGTGTTTAAGACTCAAACCGTTAACTGGTGAAGGAAGGCATTCCCTGATGCCCTAGGTCTGAGAAGAGGGATGGGTGGTGGAGAGGGGGAGGGAGTTTATTCGCCCTGTAATTGTGCCTGCACCACTTACTTTCAAGGGCATGTTTGGATCTGTTACTTGTCAAAGTGGCTATCAGAATCACCTTGGACTTCTTGAAGGGTGGGTTCACAACCGAAAGCACATATTCAAAATTGTGGAGGTAATAAGTAAATCTTCTAGAACCATACCCTTAGTGATAACATTCCACTTCCAGCTGTTAAATATCCACTTCTGTTTCCTGGATAAGATACTCAGTTCAGGAAGGAACTTGGTTACATTTGTCAGAGCCCCAAATCTGTGATGAACTATATCAAGTTCTGCCTTTGGGCTGAGGCTGGTTACTGGAGGTCATCCCTTGTTTCTCTCTCTTTTTTTTTTTTTTTTTAAAGAGATAGGGTCTTGCTCTGTTGCCCAGGCTAGAGTGCAGCAGTGTGAGTATAGCCCACTGCAGCCTTGACCTCCTGGGCTCAAGCGATCCTCCGAAGTAGCTGGAAGGTGGGACTAGAGGCATGCACCACCACACCCGGCTGATTTTTGTATTTTTCTCATAGAAACGGAGTCTCGTGTTGCCTGGACTGGTCTCGAACTTCTGGGCTCACACCATCATCCCACCATGCCCAGCCTATTTTGTTTTTTTAAGAACAATATCTCTTGTATGAACTTAACTCCAAGCGTATGCTCAGAAACCAGCCCTTCTTGGGGTGCAGTTAGTATACGAGTTCATAGCCAGAAAGATTTAGAGGTGTTTTGGGCAAACCAGGTTCTTACAGGTGTCTTTCTGAAATAACCATTTTCTCCTTTTTACAACAAACCAGAGTGTTTAAGACTGAGACAATGATCTCAGATAATGTCTTTGAGGACCCTCACCCAAGGATTTACACACTCCTCTGGGGAGGAGGGAAAATGTGGTGTGAAGAACCAGAGTGCAATTGATCTGGCTTTGATCCTCTTTGGTCCACCCTGGCTGTGTCACCTTGAGCAAGGAATAGAGCCTCTGAGTCTCCCTCTCTTATTTCTGCTGCCTTAGGATTAGTTAGTCGGTTCAGTGAGACAATGTAATAAAGTGTGGGTGTATAGTACACTCTTGGTTGTAAGTGCTCTATAGTAATGTCAGCTACCGAGGCTGGGCATGGTGGCTC